ACCGGCAGGCCGGTTCTACGTGTCGGTGATTGATCCGAAGCGATTTTCTCGCTTCCGCGACATTTTGTGCCGTGACTTGAGCATTGGGGTCGCACTATTGTAAGAAACTGCCAGAAACTAAACACCCCTAACTTAGGGTGGACGGCGCCTTTGAACTGCTGTAAAATTATCATTCGAACGACCATGAATTTTCATCAAAAGCTGCCAATATCTTGCAAAAGCGTGCAGAGCTTGAGTCGTATGTACAAATAGCAAAATTTTGAACAGAGTTCTGAATCTTGAATATTCAGCTTTATGTAGAATTGTGCTGCAAGACATTGCGCATTTTTGCAAACATGCTAGCTTTTAGAAGGAATACTCCCATTAGCCCAGATCAAACTGAATCAGCTCTTTCTATTAATACTTCCCCCAAAGAAAAGGGCAGGTGTAATATAGCGCTGCTCTTTTCTACTCGACTTTCACCCTCAAAAACCTAATGAAGTGAGCGTTCCAGTGTTTGAGACCTTACTATGCGATATTCAAGGCCAACGAGGGCGACCTTCAAAGCGCTTACTACGAACAGAAAAGCACAAACAAGTATTGTATATTGTGCTTAGGTCTCACTTCTCGCATACAAAAGTGAGTTTCTTCTCGCAGGTCCAAAATGAGTAAACTGAGAATTTTTGTGTACAGAATTCTGAAGCAATGGAATATCTTAATTTTGTCGGTATCTTAGTTCATATGACAAAATTGGCCAAATCGAAAGCTCTTGAGGATACTCGAAAGAAAAAAAATCTAATTTTGGACTCTTATCATCTTTTAGAATGAGACAAAGAAGCTCAAGAAGGGAACAAAAAATCTACTTTTGGATTCCTACCCCCTTTAGACAAAGAAGCTTCACTCCACTTGAACTTCTGTGTTCAAATCAAAGAAACTACTTGACCTCTTTTCCAGATAGCTTATCGTTCTTCATGATGACTTTGAACACTAGATGCTAAACCGGGCATTGTAGAGCGGGCAAAAAGCGAAGGATCAGCGCTCGTTTGCTCAATTGCCCACATGAGGCATAGTTCGAATTCTCTCAAGGGCAAAGCGATTCAGTTTTGTGCACAGCCAATCTGACTCTTCTCCTCTTCTTCTTGTGCTTAAGTTGCTTCAAGGACATTCGATGAACAAAATCTCGAGTTGTAATACAGTAGAGGCTTCTTAAGTCTGCGTTAATGCGCCCTGCAAAGTCAGTCGTCACGATGTGAACTCACAGCACATTCCTTAAGCGCACCTATGTTTTTAGTTACTTCTCTGAATCTGAAGTTTACGAGCATTAAATCACACATAGGCTTTTCCACAACGGTGGAATCAAGATGGAAATGTTTATTTATTGTTCATTGCGGAATGTTTATTTGTTTATATCGGACATCAAAAAAAAAAGAAAAGAAAAAACAACTGGTTTACCACAGAAAGTTCTCAACTGTACGAAGAAATTTAAATAAATTTTCTTCTCTCCGAGGTAATCTATCGTCAAGTCGCGTAACTCGATATGGTATTGCACACTACTTCCGCTATCTAACGACATATAGGTCAAAACCCGTTTTCCTAAGCACTTTCCTCCTTATTTTAGTCTCTTTTAGTTCCAAGGGATATGTATTAGATAGTAGTACACATTTTCACGTTTGTTCCGCTAGTTTTACTGACGAGTTACTAGCAAGGTATCGTCGGTTGCCGCGCGCAATGTGCAGTCTCACATATTGAGTTAATTAACTCGCGCAGATCTCCAGCTATTCTATCTCATCATTTTCGTAATAGCTATTTTTCGTATTTATTCAGTGGTTCTGAGTAAATATAATATTTTATTCACAATCATCACTGCTCTTGTCTGCTTGTTCTACCGGCTATGTGGGGCATATGGAGCTTTTCTGAGCAAACAATATAATTACAAACATAATTTTTCTTTAGTTAAAAATTTAGCATTAGTTCAAACCTGGGAAAGGTAGGTTTAACCTTTACTTTTTAAGTTTATCCCCAGATCAGCGATTCTCATCTTCTGAAGTACAAGTATGTGTTCGATTTATCAACCACAGATTACAGCGTAATTCATAGGCAACTCACCAAAACATCCGCTATAGAGATATATCCTCATACAGGCTTTTATGACTACTAGAGCGAAAAAGTCGCGCGCGTAGGAAGCTAACAAGTCAGAACTCGTGTTTGCTTCATTTATGTTGTTTTACCACTTCAGATGTTTAGAAAAACAAACGCGAACTTGTTAAAGGCAGCGTACACTTAAAATCTAAGTTACCTAATTTTCTAGATTTTTCTATACCGTGCATATACTGGGCCCAGAAGAAGACCAACCGCGTTGGTCCGGTCTCCCAATGTTGCTTCTGAGCGGAGAAAACCCCCCTCAATTTTGTTTCACTCCGCCCCTTTTCTTTCACTCCGCCTCCTCCGGACGAATCCACGACAGCGTAAGCTGCAGTTGCAGTTGCAGTTGCAGTTGCTTCTCGCGTTCTGCCTCCTTCGGAAGACGTATCCACGACAGCATACGCAGCATTTGCAGTTGCAACTACAGGCGTCATGCTGTTGCAGCTGCTTTTCGATTGCATTCCGAAGGGGCCGAGCAATTGGAAACTCGTCCTCCCTTTAGAGAGGTCCTCGGACAGGGTTTTTTGAGACTTTTGGAGGATTTCAATGTCATAACTGTAATCAGCGGCACGGAAAGGTCCCAGAATGACAAAAACATCGAAGGTGAAATTTTGGGTGTACGCTGCCAAGCATGGGTGCTCCTCGTTTTCGAGTCTTCTATAGATCGCTTGTAGAATAGAAGTAGTATGTGCAAAAATGGACTTTTTTCGCTCACTAAGTTTATCATCACTAATGAAAAAAATTTTCTGTGTTTTCTCTAAAAATCTGACCAAATGTGCGTGGATATTCAGTACTTCATTCTTGTAGATACTGCAGAGAAGTCCGCATTTGCTGTGCGCACAATCGTTGTGCAAATGCACAAGTTTCTTTTGAGCTATTGTTGTATCCTAATTTTTGAGCTATGCATCATTTAAAGTTACCTAGCGGTAGTTAGTATTTGAGATTTTGCAGATTAGAAAAATTCTGTCAGCCTTAAGTGGGTGCTGCTCAAGTTTTCAACTGCTACGTAACATTTACATTTATACTTTGGCTGGAAGAACTAGAAACCTATGCTGCAAGAAATGGGAAGCTCAATCCACTTTTTGAACAAAAATGGTTAAAGAGGAGGGAACTCGTTCGCAGCGCATAATCCATGCTTTATGAAAAACACCGTAACCGCATCACCTGCGCAGTTACTTCTTTGGCTCTGCGTTCTGCTAAGCCATCCTGCTAGTCAGAAGTTGGTCTTCACCATTTCGTGTCGGGAACCGCTACGAGCGGGACTTTAAACTTCTGCATCCATCGCGTGCTGACAAGGTGAGGATACCAAAATAATCTGTCGAACCGAGAATAGATGTCTATCTATAGTATCGTCTTCAGACGCTAATTCCAAATCTACTTTCCATTTCTGCGAACTCTCCGAAAGAAGTTATGAGCGTTTTCGTGTTCTTGTCAAGCTTCAAGTGGCTTAAAATTAGCGAAAAGCTCTACAACTCCTATGCGGACTTTTACTGTGTTCCTTCTTTGTAGCCAGCATACTTGATGCATAACTGATTACCCATTCAGGTGTTTTTGTAAAGCTTTCTGCTAATTTTATGCCGCTTAAAACTTGACCATTTTGGACTTTCAAACGCTCATAGCTTCCTTCGGAGACTTGCTTCGCAGAAACGGAAATGATTTGAATTCAGCGTTTGAAGATGCTTTTATTGATCCGCACTTCTTTTTTTTGCCAGATCATGCTGGTATCCTTTCCTTCTATCCAGCAAGTATAGTGTCTTTCAATTCCTTCCCACAACTGACAAGGGAACATTCTTTAGTCAAAGTGGCCTTTCCATATGGAACCTATACCATATAGTGATCATTGAACCATGATTCCAAATCTGTCTTTTTTTTCTGCGAAACAGCTCTCTGAAAGAACTTATAAACGTTTGAAAGTTCAAATTGGTCAAGCCTAAAGTGGCATAAAATTAGCGGGAAGCTGCACAAAACACCTATGCGGTTTTCCATAAACCGTGTTTCCTTCTTATATTCAATATGCTTGATACAAATTTGATTCTACTTTCAGCTTTTTTGTGCAGTTTCTCGCTAATTTTATGCCACTTACAGCATGAAAAATTTGCACATTCGAACACCCGTAACTTCCCTCGAAAAGTCGTTTCGCAGAAAAGGAAGACAGATTTGGAATTATCGTTCAATGCTCTACAAAGAGATATAATTTTCATGTGGAGGCACTTCGACTAAAAAAGGTTCCCTTGTGAGAATTCCATATGATATCTTGTCTATTCGCTGTTTTCTACCCCTCCTTTCGTGTAGATGGTCTCACTTTGCTAGAGCTCACGTGTGGCGTACTTTCCATAAAAAATGACGGGCAGGTGTAGTGACTAGAAAAGGAATGTGAAGTGTGAATAATGTTGAGTGCGAATGAGTTTTGTAAAGAGCTCATTGAGAGAATTTGCGGCTGCGAAACTCGTTCAGGTTTTACGCTTCTTCCTAGCTGTTTTTCTCGCTCGTATCGTCAGTCTGTAGCATGTTCTCGTCCGCTCACGACTCGATTTTGTCCCTCGAAAAAAAAAGGTTTTCAAACCTTGTTAATGGGATCATTTAGCGTCGAGCACTTTTGTAAGCGTTTTAGCTATATTCCCTTTTATTCTGTCGCGCTTGAAGGCATTCGAGTTAGACATTTTGTGAATGCCTAATCTGTACACTAAACCGACATTGTTTGCTAATGCGAACGGTTAATTCGCCGTAACACGATTCTCCCATATGCGACCCATACCACACCTTAGTAATGACCTACTTAAAGATATAGGAAATGCGGCCTTCCTCTCCAGTCGTTTATCCATTCGCTTTTGCTCGGCACGACTGCTTTTGTCAACAATGTAATTTATTCCGTTTTTCAGATGAGGACGTTGCTGTGCTTGACCGTGATCACGATGATGATTCGGCAGTCATCGGCTGCAGATGGGTGAGTTTTGGAAATTTCATGGGGAAGGTGTCCTTCAATTCTACGTAATTTTAGGAGATCGGCAACAGATGACGAGAAACAGCCGGTAAGTTAATCCTGAAAGTTCTATCATTAGGGCTCTAACTTACTCTTCAAGACTATACTGATAAGGAGGCGCATTTTCTCTTGCACATCAAGACCTTTTTATTATGTGCTCGCAACACTGATTAGCGAAAATGTCAACATTTACCATATTTGACAAAACATTTGATTTTCTTGATTTCCTTCGCTCCACTAGAAAATTACTGTGTGACGGAAGACTCATATTCAATAACATAAACCTATTTCGTATTCCTTCCCTGCGCAATCGTCAAAGCGATTTCGAGAATAATTTCGCAGCATATCTGGTTAAAACTCTTTTACAGATGGTCTGAGTAATCTGTTTTCGTTCTTTCAGATTCAATACCTATGTAAAATACAAGTATACGAGTGAGACGACAAAACACTTATCATCTTATTGTACCTACCTGTTAGTGATATAGCTCAACTCTTTCAAATATGGATAATCTTGCTGCTAATTCTATTATTCGCCAGTTTGGTGATGGCATGCATCTGTTCAACTATAACCACCACCGAATAATCTAAAATGCAAAGCCTTTTGCATGTAGTAGTAACGAGCTTGAACCAGGCACTATCCACTTTTTTAATTGGAAAGAAATTTCCGTCACACCTTTTTAAAAAATCACAACTTCTCTCTTTTTCGTTGGTTATGCATGCTTCGAATTTTTTTTTTTTTTGGAAGAAGAAGTCATAAGTTCATAATTGCATATAGCACACTTGCCAATGTGCACAGATTACTTAGCTAGAAGCGGTAGAAGAAAATCCAGATTCCTCATAAAAAAAATTTGAAAGTCGCAACAAAAACTGGAGCTGTCATTATCATAGCTCTTAACATGTTCCTTTTAGATGGATAAAGTTTGTGCTGATCGGTCATCCCTGCAAATGTTGATACGCGAGAAAATGCCAAAATACAATTTTTCGTTTTTGTATTGCTTGCTCAAAAATCAAAAGTTTTTTGCAGAGACTTCAATTCAGCATAAGCTTTGCTCAGTTGAAGAAAGCAAGTTAAGAAATGTATACTACTGACTGCTCTGATTGTTATTGCAAGTTCTAGACTTTTCAGAAGCAAACACTGGAAAATTAGGATTTGAGTGATCTTCTTTCGCTTTTATCTAACCATAAACAGTGTGTGCGTATTGGGAAGCGAGTTACATCCATTTATAAAGCGCATGACTTCTTCCAAATGGAATCAGATTCATGTAAATCCATTGGCAAACCAATAGCTATGAATTGAAAATGGTGTGATGAACTTTCGTTCCAACTCATTACGAGCGAAATATTCAAACTCATAAAACTGGATTGAGAGATTTTTATTCCGACTCTTCTTGTCCCAAAATTTGGTATCTGCCTAAAAATTGGTAAGGAGACGCCGAACATCCAATAATTTGTATGATATACTGCAGTAGCTGTAGGCAGTATTCAAAACAAGTAAAATTTACCTTCAAATGCTCAATGCTTTTCTTTGCAATTTATATGCTTTCCAGGGTGAAATCGTCATATGTAATTCATAAAATCCAAAAAATCATTATTTTTCGACCATATACATCCAACCAAAGCATAATTTTTCCCCTCGTTTGGTGGAATATATGAATGAGACAAACCTTCACAAAGAACCTCTCATCACTAAACCCTTTACGATGACTAAATATAGCCTGTATCGCACCTAAGTATTTCTATTTAGAGCATTCAGCAACTTGTAAGTGCAGCTGAAATAAAACCAGACGCGTACGTCTCACATGACTGGCATATACTCAAACTTTGAATATTTGTGATAGAACTTGACCATCTCAAACTGCTACTACATTTCATTTCTTCCTTGTTTAGTTTTTTTTTCTCTCATGTAACCTTCAGCGCGCACGCGACGACCTCATTGTGATACGGCCTTGTTTACGGTAACGCTCTCCGAAGAAAAGAAAACAGAAAAAAGAAAAGTGCTACGGTTAGACTTTGCCTAAATTGGCAAAGCAAATTCGGTTTTGAATTACGGTAGTGCAAAATTTATGGTTGAAAGTTGCAAAAGTACAAAGGGGTAGCTAAGGTAAGGCGTTAAGAAAAATAAGCTGCCCATCCAGAAAATCAAATTCTTTGGGGAATGAAAATCACTAGGGAATAACGGAAGTTTCAAAAATGATTTTTTTCGCGCCGCGGGGGGGGGAGGGGGCAAAGAGAATAAATTTAAGACTTTTTTTTGGACGATGGTGAATAAGAACCGCCACACCTTTCGAATTAATTGTTTTCCCCGAAGACTTTTTTCATGCTCAATGTTCTCCCTTTATTTTCAGTCTTCGATGACCCTGCAAGAATTGCTAAATGCCTATCAGGTGCTATACGAGAGGCAGTTCCACGAGCCTTTGCCTGAAAACCAGAAAGCTCTATTGGCTACACTTCCTCGATTCAACGGTGACTCCACGCACAAAGGTGAGCTGCTGATCCTATGAAATCATTTCGAGATTGGAAGTATATCGTAAGCGTGACGCTGCTCGGGATTATCTTTGGGAAAATAGTAAAGGAGAGAAAAAATTTCTAGAAGTTAAGCACATAGCCAACCTTTCAAAAGCAGCTGTTTACTTACTGCTAGTCGATTTTTCGGGTAACCGCCTGAACCCGCTTTGTTACAGAAGTTCAAGGGTTCAAGGAGCCTGATTTTGCCAAAAACCCCTCTCTTGCTTTGTGCTGTGAACTAGTGATTGATCACTGGTGACATACTTTGAGCCTCGATCTAATAAAATCTGACACCTTTCGCCAGCTATACGCTACCGTTATAATCGTAGCGCTGTGTTCGAGTTCACGAAAAAACCCTCTCAACGAAGTCAAGGGGTGGATCTGAATGACTAATGCTTAATAGAAAAACAGGCAGTTTGGAGTTGAAAGCACTCAAAAAGTTGTTCTGCAATAATGTTTACTTCTTTGCAGTTTTACCGTAATCACCCCTAAATTCTCACAGATAAGTCCGCTTTTTGACCCAGATTAGTCCTATAGACTTTTCAAATAAGTCCTTTCTTTCCATTCTTTCCAATCCACCCCAAAATCTTGTCAGATAGGTTGAGACCGTCAAATAAATCAGGACTTGTTTATCTGCAGACGGACTTATCTGATGAGAGGCCCTATTTGTGAGATTTTAGGGTAGTTTGTTTCATAAGTAGAACTCAAGCAGATATCTAAAATTTAGAATCTGCATGCGCATTTATTAGCCATAATTGTAAACAGTACGTTAGTTGAGGATTGAGATAGAACCATTACATTATATTTCCTAGCTGTTTTCGTAGCGGAATTGGGGACGAATAGGGAAACTGCTTGAACCTAGTGTTCGAGAACATGTTTGTAATCCAACAAGTTTCCAGGTGAGGCTATTACACTGTCCACTAAAGGCTAGTATTTACAGCGCGCAAATCCGCCAACTGGGCCAGATCCTTCCAGCGAGATGGAGATGTGGACAACGAGAATGGGAAAGAGCTGACAGGACTTGCGGTTGTCGAGAAGAGAGAGGCCTCGAGTGAGCCAACTGCAACAACGATAATAGAAAGAACCGAGGGTACAAATGAACCGACAGCCACGACGGTGATAGAAAAGAGAGAAATTGCAAGTGGAGGAACTACGGAGAAATTGAGGGGCTCTACGGCAGCACCTCCAGCGGAAAGTACAGCGGCAGGAACTAGTACAGTGAGCAACGGAATTGCAGAAACCGCCACTATGGATGTGTCAAGGACAACAACAGAAGAGGAGAGGTTGAGCACTTTGTCCAGTGCATCCATGAACCCCTCAATTACCACATCCACTTCCACAGCCAGATCGACATCGGATTCGACGAGCGCAAACCCTGTGCCTCAGGCTGACCCTGTAAAAACTACCCAAACATTGGTGCAGAACCTACACGGACTTAAGTTGACGGATCTGCACCCTGAGTTGAAACATGCGTTAGAGGGGAAGGTCAAGCCTGTGATTGTCCAAGAAGTTAAGGCAGTGTCGAAATTGACAGAAGCACCGACAGCGACTGAATCTTCACAAAACACACAACCACAAGAAAACACTTCTGAGCCCACGAAAATCGTTCTATCAAAACCTTTGGCAGTTATGCCGAAAAAGGAAGTTGTCGAACTGAAGGCTGAAGTCACTACTATGAAAACCACAACCGCAGAACCAATAAGAAGGGAGAAGCTTAGCACTGCACCTACTACCAATAGTATGGTTCTTATGGGTGAAGCGAGACCTGAAATGAAATCGAAGATGCCAATGATGAAAATGACCAAGTCAACTGTGCAGCCAATGAGAACGCGAAAAAACCTACAATCTCGACAGAATGAACAGAATAGAAGGGGCAATCAAGGAGGCAGAGTAGCGATGGTGAAGCCAATGACCCGACAACAGCAGCAACAGCAGCAACAGCAACGGCAGCCAAACTTGAGGGTCAGTAAAGTTAGTTTTTTTTTCGTTCTCGAAATCGAAAAAATTGAGAAATTGAAATGGGAAATTCTAGATTTGATACCGTTTGAGAGATGCACATAAGTGACCTTGACTTTATTAGATTTTTTTACTAACATCAAAACTTTTAAAAGTAGCGAACATCAAGAGAAGATAATATTAGCGCATACTGAGATATTAGAAAAAATTTGTGTTAACCGAGATGTCGTCATAATTTTGCTTCTGGAGTCCTTGTTGCTTATCAAGACTTGAAAACTCCAGATCATAATTGCAAGTTTCCCCTTCAAGATGAACTAATATAATACTAATTAAAGGGTCGTAGGCAGCTTAGAAAGAATTTTCTGATCTAAAACAATGTCGCAATCAATTCGCGCGTGGAGTAAGGTAGTTGGCCATTGTTTACTTTCAATAACTTTATAATGACTCCAAAATAGTATGCACCGTTCAATAGATGTCAAAAATCTTGATTTTTAGAATGTGTCCTTTAGTCTCTCTAAAACAAGTGCAATAGCCTAAAATCCAACTTTTTGTCTACCTGGAAGAGTTCGAGGATTGCTTCATCATCATAAGCTAAAATTAGATTATGCAGTTAAGAGAACAAAATTCAAAACGTAAAGAATTTCGCAACATTGAACTTATATTCTGATTATATCAGGTGATAGACCACGTAGTTGTGCCAGCAACAACGCAGAAGAGAATGCCAGCTCAGAACGGACGGGCAGTGCAAAACAGAAGACCACAAATGGTGAGATGGTCCTATGAGAAAATTTGTTTCAAAAATATTTTTTTCCACTTTTAGCCGTCAAGGAGAGCTTCACTTCCGGCACGGCCACTACCTACCGCAGCAGCGGACCTTAAACCAACGAATCCCGCACCTAGAAATAGTCTTATCGTCATTCGTGATGGTCGAATTATAGAACTCACCGAACAGCAACAAAAAGACCTCAATTTGATCCTCAGGTAAGTAGGGCCGTGTGGCGGGGCCTCCACTTGGCAAACATTTGTAGTTCCAGTGCTATGGGCGCTCAAAATGCGGAATCGTCAAACCGAAGGAGAGCTCCAGTTCGCAGAGAAAGAATGCCGAATCGCCGATTCCGACAGCAACCTTTTAGGAAGATGCACGCATAATTCACATTTTTGCATTGATATTTCTGACGTGTGCTTTTACTTATTGTTAGCAAACTGTCTTCGACTTTGAAGAGCTTATGAGACTATTTTTTTTTACTTAATAAACCAAACGTGGTTGAGAAAAATGATGCGAAGAAGCGCGGATGTTATCAGATACGAATACATCACTTGTGCAGATGGAAAACAAGGTTTGATTTTTTTGAGACGTTCTTGATAAAACCCAGCTTTTTAGTCACTTCGAGGCTTAGTGCGATAATTTGTTGTTATTCACGTTATAAAAATCGGGAGCTGATTAAAAATTCTTTTTAATCCAACGTTATTCATCTTGATAATTGTAAAAAATCAGTTTTCCGCATTGAATTCATTTTATGGTACCAAACTTCAATGCAAAGCTCTCTAAATTCACAAAGTTTACAGTTTCTTTTGACCTTTCCAAAGCCCCTCACTATACCTTCCTCATTGTCTTCTATGTGGATTCTGGTTTAACTCTAAACAAATTGTAGAGGAACAAAATGCCCTCTTCGATCATTTGTTCTAAAAAAAACCCGCTTCCAAAAGCTTTTGTGAAAAAAAATCGTAGCGGGGTCGTCCCTGAAACAATTTTTTGAAAAAAGTTGAGTTGAGGTAGTACTCACAATATTTTCCTTGTGGAAGAAATCGATGATTGCAAAAATATGGCAAACTAAATGGTTCGCACAACAGTAAAACATATGTTCTCCTGGTAAAGAAACGTTTTAAAAATCAATTCCTATTGGCGGAAACCACGAAAGATTATTAGTTTAGTACTTGAAGAGGAGCAGATACACAATGGACCCATGCTATAAACGAATATCAGTGACCGATCATCAGATAAGAATGATTAGATAGACAGATTTATAAAAAATCGAAACGTTTAGTGAGCAGAAGGACGAGTACAGTTCAGCCTCCTGGAACGTTCCATCAATGCAGAACAAAGTTTGCAGCGGCGTTCATCCAGTCAGCTTGCGTATTCTCGAACATAGTTCAAAGTCTCACGTCCGCACATGCAGACCAAATGTGTTATTTATTGCGTGTTCATCATAAAGGAGAGGAGGGGTGAGGGGGAGAGAATTTGCACCACTAAGAGCTGTGTGCATTAACATCCCCGCCGTGAAGGTTATCGCTGCCTAAAAGAAAGCTTCATATCCTGAAAATCCGGAAACCTGCATTTTACGCCGTATAACCTATCCGTGTATCTCACATCCTTCAATATGAACATATTGAACAGGGGCAAAAAGTTGTACAGGCCGCATTTACCAGCTTTTTGTATGATCCACTGATGATTCCCGGTGGCCAACCGTCTGTTCTTTAATGTCATTTTTCTTTCTTCAAAGTTAACGAAAACTTTCCAAAATCATGCTGATTATCTGACCCAGCAGTGCTAAGCATGTTGCTGATAAGAACAAATGAGTTTTTGAAATATCGAATTTTTTGATAAACCCCAACTTACGACCTGCGGTTCATCGCAAATTCATGATTCCAGTGGCCGTATTCATCAACGAACCTTGAGGTTAAATTTTACCTTGAGAGCACGTCTCAAGGTAGATTTTAACCTCAAGGTAACTTTGCTATTCACAAATCTACCTTGAGGTTAAAATCTACCTGGTAGTCAACAGAGTACTCACTGACGTTTGTTCGGAACATGCCATGACGTATCAGTGGTGCATGAAATCTTCTACTGCTAGTGATTTTCCGGCTGCCATGTTGACAATGCCGTATATCTTGTAGGTGCACGTTACCATGTTTTGGCAGGAAAGTCTTCTGAGGAATTAAGCAATCATGTTCCAAAATGATTGGACGTGGCAATTGATATAGGGTTGTCTTAAATGTTAGTACACACCTTTTAATCGTTATTATCTCTTCTCACACAAAGTCTTTCGGTTAGATTCAATAGCCATCCAGTAGAGCAGGTTTGAACTTAGATTGCTGGTATGGAGCAAAGCACCTATAGCTCTTCATTACTGTAGTATTACAATAAAATGAAGAGGGTTTCAAATAAAGTTAAAACCCTCCTTAACTTCCTATCAAATTTATATAAAAATATACATTGATGGTTGTAATCAATGTATGAATTTTGGTCCAAAATGGATACTCAGCAAGCTGGAAACTTTACCACAAGACTAAACAGAGTCGCTGATTATGAATGTGAAGTTTGTAATTAACCAGAAGGCTTTTTTTCACAACTTACGCCAAGTAAACCGCAGTTGCATCTTTTCAGTGCTTCAAAATCTAAACCAATTGGAACGCGTAAAAACTCTCATCAAGATTGTCAATGGTGTTAGCATTTCTGAAACACTGCTACACAACTTTCCAGCTTTTTGGAAGCTTTTTTTGCTGGCCTATTTCAAAATGGCGCTGTATATTTTCCTACCGATCTTACAGCAATTAAGAGCCACAGGTGTTTTGCTACATACTATAAACCTAAGTTGAAGCCTGCACTACTGCATGGTACTTGCAGCTAAGCAAAAGGCTTCCTGAGAAGAGAGTTACCAACGATCAAAGAGTGAGTACTTACATTTGGGACACCGTGTACATTAGGAAAAAGAACACGCTTCATGGCCATCAAAGTATAAGTAGAGTTAGACTTGAGCTGTATCATATGAAACGCAAATACCGCAAAGATTCACAAGTTTTTAAAAATTTTTACGTAACTCTGTTTCACTCTTATAGTTTAGTATGTAAAACTTTGGTCCCAAAACTCCTCCTCGCCTCTTTGTTAGGACCTGGAACAGCACGACGCCGGTCCATTTCAAGGAGGGAATCGCCCAATCGAACAACCTACGGAACTGACGAGATCAAGCGGGAAATCATAAAAATCGATAGTGGCAAAGGCGAAGTCGTTTCACGGGTGTCTATGTGCCACCGTCGCGCTGGGCTCTGATACCATGTTAAAGGGCTTAGAACGCTGATGCCACTGTTTTCCTTAGCTGCGGGATTTATGGACAAAGTATGAGCGTTTTTTGGAGCGGAAATTGGATGTGCAAGTAGGACAAAAATGGTTGCAATATATTTTCTAGCGCTTCAATGGAGCAATAATAATCATTAAAGTACTTTATTTAATAGATACTCCAATAATCAAATAGTTGGAAACTAAGTTTTGCAACTCATTTAATGCTTTCCTCTCTCTCGATGCACTTAAATTTTGCGATTGTGTAGGCTATGACGTAAGCTACCAGCGCAGCTGCTGTTCTGCCATATTCTAGCTTCACAATGAGGGTTAAGCTAGGTATCATAATCATAACTTATAATAACGGGCTAAGGGTTGTTTACGTTTGTCTGTCTGTGTGTGTGTGTGAATCTCTGTCTGTCACGAAATTCGTAGAGCGTGTTCCAGCCAACGTCCTGAGCCCAAATTTTGCACAGCGCACGCTACCAGCATGAAACCTCAATATACAAAAGCATGAGCGGATCCATTGAGTGGATCCATTGAAAATTGCGCGTCAAACGGATCCACTTGGCTTCTCGCCAGCAAATTTGGGTCCGTAGTACTACTTTTTGCAGAGTTAAGGATATATTTGACAAGCTAATGTGCAAGCCATGGACGTTAGCCTAAAAAAGTCATGAAAAGTCTACTACTTTACGAAAACAGCGCCAGAAAGCATTCGCTGTGTAAACGGTCAAATATTCAAGATTTTACCTGATTATTTGAGAAGAATTTTGCACAGAGGTGTAGCCCACTATGTCTATTGTCCTTACGGCGACTACCAAGCCATAAAAATTCCAAAAGCCCATTCGAATTTGCATCTGTTCTTCTGGGAAAGATTTTATCCACGCGAAAATACCGATCTCACATGGAAGACCTCTACGAATGAGTAGTTGTTTACGAATTATTCGTGATAGCCTACATAGCGCGGTGAGTTTCAATGTCATTATTATGCGGGAATGAGTAAGGCATACAGAGCGTAGGGCCAGTGCGAGCCTCTGCGAAGCAGAGGTGACGCACTGGTATGGTATAAAATGAAAAAATATAAAATATGACAGATTTAGCTGAAACTTGGTATAGGCGTTATCCGAAATGCTGATCACAAAAATGATAATGACTTTGCGTGATAAAGGCTTTTTTGTAAGGTTACTGTAAGTTTGATTTATAGGGTCCCACCCTGAACAAAGAAAGAGGCGTTATATAACCAATGAATATTATGATCGTATCTGATAGGTCAAGTAGCCTTATGTCAAGTCTCGGCGAAAATTGAGCTTCTGACTCTTTAGTCATTCACGGTTGTCCCCAGCAGCGCCTGCGTACGCGACTTGGTCGACTTTGTAGGGTCGCCAAATCTCGACTCCCCTAAATTTTGTTTATTTCTTCCTAAGCCAATGAGTCAACTTTTAGCCATAATTCGTACACGATTCCCGATCACTGCGCATGGTCTAGGCTGGTAACGGCTTCATTTCAGCTTGAAACTCCAGAAATTCTCAAAATTTACTAGTTTTCGAAAAATGCCTGAAACTTTCCTATTTCATGTCAAGATTTGAGCAATCTGCGCACAGTTGTGTCACATATTACTCTTTACATATTGCCAAAGTTTGAATGCGCCATAACTAAAGAGGTTGAATTTATGAAACTAGGTGCAAAACTTAGTGTCCAGCCTAATATATCTTACAATTATTGCTTTATTTGAGGACTAGTGAGATTTAGCAACTCCATCCTAAATGTATATGTAAATTCATGCTGCATTAAACGCTCAAAACTCCTCGTCAAGGAACGTTCCACAAATAAAAAGTCAGATTTGGAATGTTTTCTGCTAAACTTATACATTCCCATCTAAAAAGGTAACTTCGAAAAAAAGGTTTCCGTGTAAGTAAACAAGTGAAATTTGAGCTAGTATTGATATAATATATTCTTCCTTGAAAACGGCTGCGTCAGAATACGGTCCTCAGAAATTAGAATGAAGGAGGTCCTCATAAAGAGTTCAACTCTTATGTGCAAAATCAAGGTAGATTCTAACCCTAGCTATCCTAGGGTTAAATTCTACCTTGGATGCATAATAGAAAGTTGGTGGAGAAATGATGATTGAGGTAAAATTCAACCTCAAGGTAGAATGATGAATACGGGTTTATGCGTTCAAAGGTTCATTTCTACCTCAAGGAGGCTTAACCCATGAAAGAATTTTATTGCGATCATGTTGTGAATACGGGTTATAAACTAAAATGCTAGCTGAGGTAACTTTTAACCTCGAGGGTTCGTTGATGAATACGGCCACAGAACATCGTCTGTTCTTATCAGCAACATGCCAAACACAGTTGGGTTAAATAATCGCACAACTTTAGAATGTTTTCGTTAATTTCGAAGAAAGAAAAATGACGTTAAAGGAAAGACGATCGGTCGCTGGGGATCATCTAGGGATCATACAAAAGGCTGGAAAATGCGCTTGTACAGCTTCTTGCTCCTGTTCAATATGTTCATAGTGAAGGATGGTGACAGCTAGGGATAGGTAGACAGCTTGAAATTCAGATATCTGGAGCTTCAGGATATGAAACTTTCTTTTAGGCTGTGATCCCCTCCCCGTGGGGATGTTAATGCATGCGGTCCTAATTCTTCTCTGACGGCTTCCAGTTAATGCATTGAAATGGATGGGGAGGGCGGGGGGGGGGGGAAGGAGCACTAGTGACGGTAAGTCTCTTCTCCGGGCATAAGTCGTAGGAAGAATCAAACCGCCACATATTATATACCGTTGGAAGCTCACACAAATCTTATATATAAAGCTGAATGTCTGTTTGTATGTATGTATGTCTGTCTGTATGTATGTCTGTCTGTACGTATGTTCCGAATAGAAAATTCCATTTCTGAACCGATCCGGACCAAACTTGGCACACATACACTTCGAGCCCCGGCGGGTGTCATAGGCTACTTTTCGTCATCGATCGATATCGGCTTTATCGATTTTTTGCAAAATTTGAGCTACGGGGCTGGGAGTTGGCACAGGGGGGTAAGTGAGCATGCTGATTACGAGTACAATTATAGTTTTTAAAATCGCGCATTACTTTTATCGATTTTATCGATTTTTTTGCAAAGTTTGAGCTACGGGGCTGGGATTTGGCACAGGGGGGGGGGTAATCGAGCATGCTGATCACCCCCGTGGGGGTGATCAGCATGCTCGATTACACCCCCCTGCCAAATTCCAGCCCCCTAGCCCAAATTTTGCAAAAAATCGATAAAATCGATAAAAGTAATGCACGGTTTCGAAAACTAATATTGTATTCGTAATCAGCATGCTCGATTACCCCCCTGTGCCAAATCCCAGCCCCCTAGCTCAAATTTTGCAAAAAATCGATAAAATCGACATCGATCGATAACGAAAAGTGAACTGTGACACCCGCCGGGGGCCCGAAGTGTATGTGTGCCAAGTTTGGTCCGGATCGATTAAGAAATGGAATTTTCTATTCGGAACATACGGCGGAGCCGGGTAAGCCAGCTAGTTATATTATATTGTATTACATTATATTTATTGCACAGGAAGTCGCCTTCATAAAGCACACAGGTAATACTCATCAAAGAGCAAAAAAGAAATGGTAAACACAGGACAGATACCTGAAATCATTATTTTTGGAAGAAAGAAAAATGTTCTCAGATAACAGCCGCACTCAGTTTTGAAAGTCAGTCTGACACTGCCACACCAATATGACATGACATCGGAATTATAGCATGTAAAATTGACTACTTTGACTAATGTTTACTTTTCTGACTTGGGTACCGTGTATAAACCTAGCATAATCACGACCGCTTTATCTCACTTTTTGTTAACCAGATTTTGATAAGCAAGGGTGAGGCAAGGCGAATGGGCTAAACCATGTGTGCTTGTTGAATCACACGAGCTCACCCTGATTACCTTGTTTTATTAGGTAATACATCTAAAACGTTTAACTTATATACATTATTCTTATGACTCCCAACCAGAAGAAGTAAGGGGAGGGGCGGGGGAGGGTGAGACAAGGCGAATGGGCTAACCATGCGTGCCTTGGTTAATCACTGAGCTCACCCTAGTTATTACATCAACAACGTGTGCGATTCAATAGTAGTCAAGTTTCTGCTGCAATTAATGTTAGCAAAAAAAGCTGGGTAGAATTATACTGGACTGGAAATTGTTTAAGGACAAGTGATATAGTGACAAGTGATCACTTGTCCTTAAACAATTTCCAGTCCAGTATGATTCTACCTAACTTTTTTTCCTAACATTAATTATAGAGAAACTTGACTACTATTGAATTGCTCATGTTTTTGATGTAATAACTGGGATGAGCTTAGGGATCGTTCAGATCGCGCACAAAGGCGGACGAAGCCGCACGAAGGCGGACGAAGCCGCACAAAGGCGTACGAACGCGGACGAAGGCACGTCTTGTCTCGTCTCGTTTATCTCGACACGCACACTCACTCACACGCGCCTTCGTACAGGGGTTTTCAATCTGAGTGTCACGGTCGACGTGGTTCACCCTTTCGAAAGCCACCTCGTTTGGGTCTCTCACGCGGTACACTACCGCACCCGATAACGCGAATTAGCGGATGCGGCATCGCGCCACGTGAGAGGCCCATGCGAGGCGGCTCGCAAGGACCTGAGCCACATCGACCATGACACTCAGATCGAAAGCCCCTGTACGCCTTCGTCCGCCTTTGTGCGCGGTCTGAACGATCCCTAATCGGCACGCATGGTTTAGCATCGGATGCGGCATTGCCTCGCGAAAAGTTCGCGCCGATCGCAGGGCTTTCAGACTCAATGTCACGGTCGACATGGTTAAAGTCTTCGAGAGACGTCTCGCTTGGGTCTTCCACATGATACAATACCGCACCCGATGCCGCGAAGGCCGCGAATGCGGCCATGTATGTATGCGGCTATTGTACCATGTGAGAGATCCAAGCGAGGAGGCTCGCGAGGACCTGAACCACGTCGAGCGTCACAACAGATTGAAAGCCTCTGTACCTCTTGACCGTTCCTCGATTGCAAGAACTCAAAGCATACAGGAATTTGGTTTCAGGTGCGATAGGTGTGTTACTGCGGAAACATTCAACTTCACGGTTTGTTTTGACAAAGTGACGATTACTAAGGTTCTGTTTCTACAATCTTGTTGACTATACACGGGCCTTGCAGGACTTGAAGCGAATCAAGTTCGTCCCAAATACTCTCGTACTAATCCACTGTGTCGCAATTTAAGTTTATATAGGTACTTTGAAAACCTGAGAAAAAAGACGTGAGCTGGTGTGCATTAAGTGCAGTTGCAGGTGTCTGCGCCGGGCTCAAATTTTCAGAATCGTGTGTTTCCTCTTGGATTTTCAATATTGCTCTTCTTCTTTTGTTGTTGTGTATTCAGCTTGTGTATTTTAATATGTTTGCTTGCGACATTTATGACACTGCCCATGTACTAAATGCATCGCTTTCTAGAAACATCTGGCGGTCTGCAAAGTACATAAGTCTTCAAGAGCCTTATGAACGATGATACCACATCGAGAGTTGTTTTCCCGGATGGCTCCATTACAAAAGTAGTTTATCACAACTTTCTGTAAGTTTTCCTTTGGCTTCCGCATTCGCCATTGAAACAACGTATGAGAACGTTGTTTCAATGGCGAAACAATATGATTTCTGCGTTAGTACCCTCTAAGAGGCATTTTGGCTTATGACAATGGTAGAATCTTATAGGGGACTCTTTATGGCTTTTATCGAGTGCGCGAATAAAGACAAGGAAATGGGGGTTCATGATACGCTGATGTACATCATCACCTGGAACGGACGGATTTCTAGATTTCTAGCCTGGACTATGCAATGCGTAAATAAAAAATCTTCTTCACCGAGACGCTCCGCTCTTTAACGCGGATGATCTGTAATGACCTCGAAAGTGGGCTTCAGGGTAAATAAAAGTTTCGGACATTTGGTAGTCTTAATGAGGTTATTTATGTTCATGTACGCACAAGGCGTGCCATCACTAGAACAAAATACTGAGAACATAACCAGGAACAAATACAAAGAACAAAACGAGAAAACATCCAATAAGTTAGAACAAGTCCACTCACCAAATAGTTTGGAAGAAAATAGGGGATTAGGCTTGTATAGACTAGTATGAACAAGTCACTCGAAAATATTGGCGTAAAGACTCAATGGAGTCTGTCCCTACCCCCTGCTTGCTCGAAAAGGCGATCAGTATACAGGGCCCCTAAACTGCAGAGTCGTTTGCACCAGCGGTCGCGCGACCGCTGGTGCAAACGACTCTGCAATTGAGGAGCCCTGTAAGCAAACTGGAAATAGGGGAAGCGGTATATATGGAAACCTCGCACAACCAGTTTACATTAATTACATTGCATGCTGATTACTTCAGTTGTTTATATTCCATTTATAATCTCTCGAACTTGTTTTTATAGCACCTACGATGATGTGGTATGCACCCCTGGTCCTTATCTCAACGTCATAATCGGCACGAATGGAGCCGGGAAAAGTACGGTCATCTGTGGCATCTGCCTAGCTGTTGGCGGAAGTCCAAAAGTCCTTGGTAGATCTGAAAGAATGGGCGATTATATCAAACACCGTCGAGAAGAGGGCTATGTTGAAGTTTTCATGTGAGGTCCTTTTCATTTTATATATTTTCTGCAGCATTTAGTTCTTGTAGTGCTGATGCTCGAAAAGGTGTGCAACGAGTAAAAGTGCTCCTGCAACGGCCTAGCAGCTGTACATACTTCATAAACGGTTCTCGCACAACTCAACGTGCCGTTCGTGACTTTGTTGCTTCATACAACATTCAGGTGGGGTTGTCTTATAAGTCGACTATACACCAGAAAATTCAGCTTGCATTTTCGTTATCTAAATAAGAAAGTTTAATCTCTTGTATTTCAGATAGACAATCCTTGTACATTTCTCGCTCAAGATAAGGTCAAGAGCTTTTCTGAACAGTCTCCTGTAGAACTACTTATGAATACTGAACGGGTGTGTTTATGACAAAGTTATTTATCATCATCACCTGCCAAGTTTTAGGCTGGTAATCCCGCTTCATTGGAGAGGCATGAGAAGTTAATTGAGAAAAAGAAGCATGAGAGCGTTCATATTGAAAACGCTCGCGAGGTACAACAGCGCTTACAAGCAATCGAGGGTAAGTTTTACTAATTTGTTGTTCCACGATATGAAATTTTGAATCACTATCTTCAGGAGAGATTGACGCGCTCATGCCTCGTGTGCACAATTACAAAAAGAAAGAGTTCATGCGCACTAAGATCAAAGTTTTGCAGAAGAAGAAAGCAATTCTGGTCGGTGAATCAAATGTCGTGCTGCTACGAAATTTTTTATTTCTGCTGCTTTAGGATTACAAAGATTGTCAACAACGTTTTGCTATTGAAGAAGCAGCTGTTGATGAGTTACAAAAGAAAGTCAAAGAGGAGGAGAAGGAGGTGAGTCGCCAAATCTATGATAGTTTCTGAGTGGTGGTGGCTTTGTTTTATCCGCATATGTTCATAGGTACAACATCTGAAGGAGAAAGCTGAGATGGATGCGTCTCTGGAACACGAGTATAACAGGAAGCACGCAGAACTGGTTTGTTCTTTTCTTGACATGTTTGCAAAAAGGATGCATTTCATTTGTATGTGTAATACCTACATTCCTTTTAGCTGCGTCGCATACGAGCTACAACGGAGGAGCTGCATTCTGTTACGAACACAAACTTATATGGTGATAAGGTGAGTGATTTCGATTCTCGCTACAAACGTTTTTGTTGTTTTTCTAAGAGAGGCATTTTTCTCCCAAACACGAACTCCTAGTTGGACGCCATTGCGTTCGGTACCAGGAATTCGTGTTTGGGAGAGACAGCAGATTAGAGAACTGAGAGTGTTTTTAATCTACGAGATTCCGACAGCGTTCTAATGGCGTGCTGTCTCTGCGTGCGATGATTCGCCTACACTTTCTGCTCTGTCCGAGCAGCTGTACCCACTCGAGAACGACGTCTTGGAATTATTTTCCATGCAATTCTTGCGTAAACTCCATATATGTTTGATTGGCTGGAAGCACCATGGAGGACGCGCAATCCATGACTCTTCTTTAAGAATATATGTAGGGAATAGTGTCCTTCATAAATTATCACACAGTAATAACCGCTTGGGATCGGATCTTATAGCAATAGTTATTGTAATCTTGCTTGAATAGTTGACCCATCAAGTGTAAAGAAAAGAAGTAAACTCAGTTCTTCTTTTTTCCAGCCGTTTTAGCAGAGTTGATGTGACGTGAATAATTATAATTTCCATCCATAAACCAGGTACGTGATGCACTGGACCGCTTCGATCGTTTGAAAGCCCAGAATGCTAATTGGGAGAAGGAAGTGGAGCAGATGAGGAAACAAGTAGAACGAATAAAAGAAAACATAGTGGAGGCTAAAGAAAATCTGAATGGTTACGAAGTTAGTTTCTCATACGCTTTAACCCTGGGACTGCGGTTTTTCCTAATCGCACTTTTTTAGGAGTTCCGGAAAGAAGCTGTGAATGAGACCAAAAAATATGCAGATGAAGATGAAGTCATTTGTAAACACGAAGACGAACTTGTCAGTGAAGAAAGAAAAATATCCGACGAGAGAAATAGTAAGCCTTTTTTTTACGTATGTCCTATATTGTTCAGTTTGTACAATTTTTACCTCGCTGGCTTTTCGCATTCTCCGCAATACAATCTCATTTTGATTTTGCAGGACTGCGCGAACGCGAAAGGCTGATAGAGCAAGCAATGGAAGGAAGACTGCGTGTTTTGGAGAACTTGCGCAGTAACTTGGCTGATGAAGCATGGCGCTGGTACGAGGAAAATCGCGACAAATTTTCTCATCCTGTATATGTGCCTATTCTCCATGTATGCTTATTGCTTAAGGAAAGCTTGATTATGAGTGTTATTTGTTTTTGCGTTCAGATGACCGTACGCAACGCTGAATCGGCCATGTTGCTTGAGAACTTGATAGCGAACAGAGACCTACCCATGTTCATATTTGGTAGCAAATCTGATGAAGCTATACTGACCGATCCGAGACACAAGTGGAAGCTCAACTCCACTGTGATCCCTCCCGAACAGGTGTGTGTTTAGTGAAATCAAAGGGGCGTTAAGATGAATGCGAGCTGGGGTTTATTTGATGTTTACGGTTTTAAGCTCTGAAAAATTGCTTCTAGTAATGAGAATGCGCTGAGCTTCGTTGTATTGGTTTTTAAGGTTAATGCGGCTCTATTCAAAACAGCGTTGAGCGAGGACATGAAGAGGTTCGGCTTCACGCGTTTCGCTGCAGACCTATTCACGGCTCCGGATGTTGTAAAACAGTATCTCTGTAGTGTCTCTCGGGTAAACCAATAATTATCATCTCCTTGCAGATTCCATACACATTCTATTTAGCTTCATCAAGTTCCTATCGGCTCTGCGAAAACTAACGATGCATATGAGGACATCAAAACAGCCTTTAGTAACACAGCTTTCCGACTATATCTCACAGACAAGTACAGGGTAAAAATTGTTCACTTTGTGTAATTTCTGAATATTTCCTTACGATTGTTTCTCATTTTTTAACAGGTGCAATTTACCGTATCCAAATATTCCCATGAAGTCCTCGGTCAGCAAAGTGAACTCAGGAAGCCCGCAAGAATTTTGGTGTCTCATTCTTCTAATTTTGATGAAAGCAAAACTCTCGAGAGAGAAAGGGAGGAACTCAAGAAAAAGGTATTATTTCTGGTCTGTTGATAGCATTGGTCTTCGAGAGATATCTAAACATTTGCTATATTAAGTCTGGGTTTAGCTTCATAGAAAAATTCAGAATTTCTTGCTAAATAAGTCTCTTAAATCTTTTTAGTGTCTCATCAGTTTATCGCTTTTACTGATGTTGTTTCGTGCTTCAGGAGAAGAATTTATACAGTCGTAAAACGGAAGTGAAGGAAGAACGAACGGCTTTATTGAAAAAGAGGGAAGCACTCAAAGCCAAACAGGTACTCATACATGATCATCGTCCAGAATTTGTTTTCCGAAGCGTATATTTCCAAGATGGAGTGGAGAAACCGTCGTGAAAATCTTATAAATCTCGAGCGTTCACTAAACAGCCGAGAGAGCAAGTGAGTTTTTTTTGGATATCATCTTTCTCGAATATTGTAGTCCACTTATCTTTATTTCTATTAGTGACCCTAACTCCTAGATCCTGCTATGCATACTCTATTGTTAGTATATCATTTTTTGTCACTTCGCACTGATCAGAATTATTGCTGGTTTGCTCACTGATTTCTAGCATCCGAAACTTCTGTTAATGTCGGTGGCGAGGTAGGATTCGTCATCCCGATATGTCATGTGCTCTTAGTCCACCGTAAATAATTCAGCTCGAATTTTGGATATCAGGAAACGGTGCAGTAATATTCTGTGACCGGACTTCAAGCATGAAGCAGACAATTGAAAATGCTATGTTCGTTGCTGCTAAATTTGCCACACTTCAGATTGGATTCTCTAAGTGCAAGTCGTCCGGATATGGAGCAAGCGCATGCTGCTTTGAAGGAAGCCAAAGTGCTTGCCAGCAAGGAAGCTCACAAAATGGTCACCAAAATGCTCTCTGAAATGGTAATATCCCTTGAGAATTGTCATTTTTTCATCTTTTCCTTGTTTTAGCAGCAACTGCGAGCTTGTACGGTCGAAGAATCCTTACTGAGAACTGGTTTTCATCGTTTGCGTGAAGCACTGGGTAAGAATGATGCAAAACTTCATGAGGCTCAGCAAAAGTTGCAGGATAATTTGGTAAGACCATTGAACATTCTATGTGTTGTCCCGGTAAAATTGATTCAGGCTTTGCTCGAAGGTCGTGTTTCCCGTTTTCGGGAAGTTACGCGAGAAATGGCAAACGCCCAGGATTCACTCCAAGAACAATGCGGTTTGACAACTCTTGATCCTGAAAAGATGACACGTGAAGAGAAAGCCATTCCGGAACAACTCGAGCAGGTATGTTGGATACCGAATATTCCATTGCACTGGAACCAGTAATCTAAAGTTGCTCTTTGCAAGAGCATTCGCTTAGGGACCCGCCGCGGTCTCCCACTATCTGATGTTTTTTGAATTAGCGTTACAATTCTTTACGTATTAGATAGTTAGATAGATGAATTGGTGCATCATGTGCTATACCATTGTTTCGTTAGTATTCGTTCTGGACCTAATCAGCGTCCACATTCATGTTTCCATGTTGCTGTCTTCCAGCTTTTTATTGCTGAAAAAGTTCCTGATGAGATAGATGCTGTACTTCGACTTCTTGAAGAAGAAAAAGTGAAGCTGAATATAGCTAGTGTGGACGGAAGCAAAGATGTAAGTCGCATATTGCGTGAGTTGCCTCTCATTCACTTCGTAAACTTCACAGGATGTGGATCGTGTTGAGAGGCTTACCGTTGAGAAGGCTGGTTTGCTGGAAAGGAAACAGAGGCAAGAGGTTACGAGGGAGGCGTGGAAAGCTACTTTGTTAAAGGTACCTTATGTTGTGAGAACCGTCAGTTTAACTGTAGTTATGAAGCAAGTCACACTACATCCGAATTTTGTTCTTAGGAAATTGAAGAGTGGAAGCAGCCGGTGGAAGAACTCATTCGAAACATCAACGTGAACTACTCCAAGTTTTTCAATTTCTTGGGTTGTGCGGGAGAAGTATATTTGGATGTTCCGGAGGATCCAGTAAGCGGAACTAAGGTATTTGCTCATTGTGTTCTCTGCTGTTTAGTCGAATATCTCCGAGTATGGCATAATGATTATGGTCAGCTTCCGCGCCGGAGAACGTCTGCGTCGTTTGGATCACCAGGTAGGTAGAGCTTTAATGTCTTAAATTTCTAGCATGATATTCAGGTCCAATCTGGTGGTGAGCGAAGCGTGTCTACTATGTTGTATCTTTTAGCTCTACAGGAATTGTGTCCGGTGCCATTTCGATGCGTTGATGAGATCAATCAAGGTATCCTTTTCACCATAATTTCACACATTTCGTAGATAGCCTTTTGATTTTGAAGAGGGAGCTGTCCCTTAGGACTACATTCATATACCACTGCCACATGCTATCTATGAACATTGATTTTGATTCTCGCATAGGCCCCGTAACATTGTGGACCACTTATCACCTCCCAATAAATTTTTCTTTTCAAAATATAAACATCTACACATAGGAAGTGTGTCCTTTTTGATTAAATCTGTGTTATGATGTGTTCAGGAATGGATCCTGTCAACGAACGCAAAGTGTTCGACATTATGGTGGAAACATTGAGTGGAGAAGGGAATCTAGCCAAGACTCAGTATTTCCTGTAAGTTTTGGGGACTGTTTCTACCCATTTCTTTCTTTTTTTCGCTTTGTTTGCTCAGGTCAACATAACAAAATGAACTCTTATTTCTCATACTATGGAAAGGTAGGCGTGAATCAACTTTTAACATTTTACCAGGCTCACGCCGAAACTGTTACATGGTTTGAAGTTCAACAGAAAAGTAACAGTGCAAATTGTCCACAACGGAGCAACACTGAGTGAAAATTGTCGTGTGAGTATTTTGAACATTAGAAACGGATCTTTTAAAGTTATCAGCGTAATGTTCAGAACTGGGATCCAAAGAACTTCTTGTCTATCATGCAGTCACGTGCAAGTACATGCTAGTCGAGATCTCATATGTTAGCTTTGACCTGTTCTTGAGTATCTACTCTCATCTTTAGAATCTCTTTCGCTTCACTTTGGCAATGAAGATTTATTAATGAAAGCTCTTCTATAAATGCATTCTTCCTGGCTGTGGTGAATCATATATACATATCAAACTATCAACATAAATGCTATACAAATAATGTAGATGAGGATCGTGTGTGCATTACCCGAAATATTGCATAAATTTTCGTCACACAAGCATTGTGATGCTCCACTATTCGTGCATTGAGCGTCTTTGCTGAGGTAGTAGCTAGAACGAAGAAGTTTGCTTCGACATCCTCGCATCACGAATGACAATTCTGAAAAGGTGTAGATTTCATAGCTTTCCTTGTCTCAATAGTGAAGAAGGTGAGATTGAAAAATTCGGAACAATTCGCCCTTGGCTAGCTTTCCGCCGGAGAATTTTTGCTACCTTCTCTTCTTTTCAGATAGTGCGTTGCGCGGACGCCAGGCGCGTAATTACGTTCCTTTCAAGGCAGACAACAATTGCGCGTAAAGATGGTCACAGGGCGAACTTCTCATATTCTGCACTCTATGGCTTATTTCACACAAAATTCTTGTTGTTAGAGCAGGGCCACTAAGTCAACGAATAGATCGATACAGAACCAAAAGGAATTATACTGTATACTGTTCTTAATTTATATAAAGTTATGATGTCGCAACCTAGCAAAAAATCCTCCCAATCAGAACTGAGAAGCGCTAGTATTCCATACCCAGTTGATCACATAAATGTGAACTTGGACAACGGTCAAACATTCAAATTTCCGTAAATTTTGCGGATGCAAAGATTCTGTTCATTTAAGCAAGTAAAAAATAAGTCTCAAAAGTCTTTGGAAGTCGCACTACCTACAAAAAATTCTTGGGGTGGGGAGGGCAATGTCCAAATTTAGATCCCATTTTTTTAAGGCTTGGCTAAGGACATGCCCCTCCATTCCGGGACTTTTTTCCTTCCGCTTCAAACAAATTCCATGCTGTTTTCGTTAATCGCTTAGGCCTCGGGAAGAGTTCACGCGATGTCATCGTCTCTATTCTTCCTTCGAGACAAACAATTACGAGTCTATTGTATGTCGAACATCTTGCAATACGGTTCTGATAGTTAGTCACGATATGTGTTGGGGAACTATCACAATCGAAAGAAAGATGAGCGGCATGCAATGATATTGTTACAGTTGTCTTGTTGCGATGAATCGCGATGATGAAATCGCGTGAACTCTGCCCAAGGCCTTATGCTCTTACTACTACCGCTCTTGCTCTCGGAGGTTGGATTCTTTGTGGCTCTGCCGTGGCAGACTCATTCGGGTATAGAAGGCTTGTCTTCAAAGTTCGGAGGGGCCATAGGGAGAGGTTCGTGTCAAAACCGAAAATGAAGGACCGAGAAGCAAAACTGCTCGAAAGAACCCTCTTGTTCACTGGAGAGGCAAGACAATCACAAGTGCAAGTCTTGCAATGATGAGAGAAAGACATCGTATGCTACCGTATTGTTTCGTCAAGCGGTAGTATGAAATCAGACTATTATTTTTTTGCCTAGATTTACACCTTCAGTAGCAATGCAGACAAAACATTCATAATGTCAGTGCCCGCAGAGAATTTGAAGCAGCAAAGGATGCAATGAGTAACTTAAATAATTTAGTTCGCGTTCAATATTCAATATCCTGCCAAATTACTTTACTCTTCATATATCCTGAGTTTATACATCGAACTTCTGGGCGACAACTTGATTATTTCCATTTATATGAACTTCTTTGCTGTTTGAGTCAGCAGAGTCACACATATACAAATTTATCCTTAGAAGAAATGCGAGTACTGATCCCGGTCAAAATTGTAAGACCAGAATGCTTTCAAATTTATGGTGCTAACAGCATAGCAACGAATGCCCGGGTTGCCGGGTGAGTGAGCATTATCGCAGACATCTCAACCACGGCAAAAATCAGCAATTAGGAATAGCTAAGAAGGTAGAAGACCATTTACGCCATTACACCTCTTTGTCGTACTGCTGGCAAAAATATGCATGGTGGAGCTTTTTTAGGTAAATCTGGGTACCTTTCCTTATGTGAAACGTCTGACTAGATATTGTCATAAAGCTGTAAAGCGGCTCTTTAGTCTACGTTGGAATCACTACTGCTAGGTTCTTGTGCGTATAATCAAGTAGAGCTTGACTCTTCTTAATTGTATTTGGCTAAGTCTGAGTATCTGAGAATATAACTCTCTAGGACGCTTGTGAGTAGATTTTCGCTTTTTACTCATTGTGCACGGACTCAAGACCAAGTTTTGCTTCCATCTTCAATTCTCGAAAAAAAATGAGTCAAAATTTTCACATTTTGCTCCACTTCCTGCAGTAAATGTGCTAACCACTTTTCGAATTTCTATGTCCTTCAGTGCGGAAAAATTCAGTCACTTGACTAAAAAAAAACAAGTTCGCTCACTTGTTTTTTGATTGAGACAGAAGGCAGCGGAAACAAATTTGGGAACAATTACAGCTATGTGGCGAGAGTCACTAACTGTGGGGGGGGGATGTCTCTACCATTGCTTTTCTGTTTCGAAAAATGGCATTCAGAGCAAGAGTAAAAAAATTACTGCGTGTTTTTGTCTCTCTTTTGACATATAATGATTCAGATAGACGGCGGCGACTAAGATGTATCTTGTTTGTTTGTTTCAGGCTATACTACAAAGATTTCCCAAGCGCTAATGTTGGTGGCACTAGAAAACTACATTACCAGTAAAGATTAGGTAATAAAAGGAATACCACCCATAGCAGTGGCGGTGTTGGCCCTTTCTCACTTACTCCTTATCCTATGAGTTTTATTAGGCCCTAGGGCCTAACGGGGTAATCTTTCGTCCACCTACTTTTACTTTTCAAAGACATTCAGGAAAAGAAAAAATATTTATTCTCCCGGTGGCATCTGTTGCTGAGCTAGAAAGGTGGCACGGAGTATTGCAGCATGAATTTGGGTAAACAACTTTTTTTTGGAGGAAAGCTCGACATTGACACAGCTGTTATAACGATGAGATTATGACATTGATAGCAGGGCTAAATTGGCACCAGACTTTTCAAAAAGACTTTTCAAAAACCGTAAAGGAATGATCTATTTTCAGCGTGCTTTCAGAGTACGACTCCAAAACAACCTGCAGCAAAAAGAGGATGATTTCATGAAAATCGAAAAACACAGAAACCACTAAAAACACAGAAGAAAGAAAGACGTTCCTCATATTTTCTAGGAGGTTGAGTAAAGTGAGGCTCGCACTGCATCAACAAATAGTAATTTTGCATATAGTTAGACAGACTTTGCACGCTGCATGCTTTCCAGATATGTACAAATTTCTTATGGATGGCGGGCTGCTACAACCCATGGTCAAGAAGTGGATATGTAAAAGTGAGAGGTTACTGATATCAAACTAGTATCTGGCACAGGAGCATTTCTAAAAACTACGACTGCACAACAATTTTCATTCCTTGTCCCAGAGCTGAAGTCATTTCCCAAAACCTTCAGAGAATAATTTAGAGGTTTAGATTCAGTTTATTGTAACATGTCATAAATTCTTTGAATTTATAACACATCTTTGTTAAATTCTAAATTTTATGAATATTGAACCCTTCAGGAAAGATTTTTAAATTCAGAACTTTATTAAAATATATTTATTTTGTGTGGATAAGGACGCACAACCATGAAACAAAAGTGCACGCGTACTCAATCCTGCTGATTAACGGCATTCAAACATTTACTCTTGACCGCGTACTCAATCCTGCTGATTAACGGCATTCAAACATTTACTCTTGACCGCGTACTCAATTAGCGAAGCCATATATCATCCTAATGCCAAGGATCAACTGGCATAGAGTACATCCTGGAAGCAAAACACTCTGCTTGGAAGTTTTCTGTACAGCTCGGCACGAGGTGGCTTTTGGAAAATGCAAAAACGAAGTCCCCTTGATTTTCGGGAACAGGGCTCGGCACGAGGTGGCTAGTTGAAAATGTAAAGAACGAAGTCCCCATTGCTTTTGCGAATTACGAAGTCCCCTTTAACCCTAGACCATAATCCCAAAAAACCCTCAAAAAACGAAACGTTGACTAAAAAAACTTCACAATTTTTGTGTCTTTCAGCCTCAAAAAACAATACCCCTTTGCTTTTCTCAAAAACGATATCCAACTTGCTTGCAAGTCACCTGTGCCGAACCTGGTTACCAAAGTGTTAGCTCTGGTTGCCTGAGAATTAGACTAACATAGATACGTAAGGACGGATGGTGAGAAAGAGATTTCAAATTCACAGGATATCAAGGAAATTTCCTATACCGCTGATCATTGACGGTAACAAACGAGAATGAGGAATGAAGCTTCTGGTCAACATATAAGGACACCTTATTTTTGCAAAGAATATCTTGCTGGCCTCCAGCACTACATTCAAGAAAAAACAACTCGACATGAGTTCAGCACAGAATGTGGAGCGTGAAAATTACCGCTAATAGCTGTGTTGACTGCCAGATTTAAAAGAAACCCTGGGACTGCTCGACCTACCTTTTTGGAAAATAGAGATTTTTATGCACTGGTCAGTATCGTCACAGGTCTGTGTTTCAGCCGAGAGAAAATCGTAGGCTTTTGAGTCGTCGCAGTACTCATGTGACGGTGGTACGTTGTACCTGGAAAAGGTCACAGCAATTATTTCCGCTGATGGAAATTTGTTAGCAGCTTGTGTGGGTTTTGCACGCGATATCGCCATTGCGCCCTTTCGTTAATTGGAACGGAAAATGAATGTCAGATGTTAAATGTGATATTTCGGATTAAAGACACCTATTGGCACCTCCACGAATCTGCAATACTACCACAAGCGAATGATATAGTCTAATAGATTCAATAGTCAGATTTGCCCCTATGATATCAATATCTGCGCGTAGAGATTAGCTATAGAGCCACATCTCAAATAATTCTTGTACTCCATGACAATTTTTCCGCGTATTTTCGGCACCGAGCAGCAACTTAGAATTGCTGTTATATATACAGCAGTGGCGGTCGCAAAATTTCCGTCCGGAGAGGGGCGACAAATAAATTTTTATGTGAAGATGCATGGCGTGAGCCACGCACTTCGAAATTTTGAGATAAAATTGCCTTCTCAAATTTGCGGGCCCATAACTCGGATAAATTTTTTTACGAAGGCAATATAATATTAGTTTGCAAGTACAAACAGGTCGCGTGCGCATTTTTATAACTCATGTAAGTTATTTTGAAAATATCGCGACCCATTCTCGGAGTCGAGGGAGCCCCTACCCCTCTACTCTCGTTTCGCCACCGTACTTTATTTTGAAAATTTCGCGACCCATTCTCGGAGGCGAGGGGGCCGCTAACCCTCTACCCTCGGTTCGCCATTGTACAATTACTATAGCGTCATATCATCATGGAGCTAACAAAAGAACTGGTGATGAAATGATAAAATAGACCCTGCCATTGAAGGCCATAAAAACAAAAATTTCAAACTTATTTATTTGCGACTCAGTTTCAAGCTGTATTACGGGTCACCATGACACAAACTCCGACTCAAGGGGCTGTATTAGATTATGTTAAATATCAAAGGGTATCGAAAAGGGACAGGACAGCTGATCCTATCACAAGTGCTTATCATAGCAATTACTGTTATTTTTACGTCTGATAGGCAGGATACGGTATGAGGATACGGTATCTTGAGGTACCTCATGAGTAATCAATTTTTCTTGATATGATACTCTGTTTAAGCAGAATGTTATAAGCAGGACCACAACCAAAATCATAAATGACACTTCAAAATTTAGGTTGCCGCTCAAAGTGATTTACTTTTCTTTCACCTGTGTTTTGGATGCCAACACGCAAGGGCTAGAATCGGAAGTGTTTGCAAGTCGTATCATATCAGGGGCGAGATTAATATGTATGATTGCTTCTTGGAATGCATATCCGGCTAGCAAAATCCTTCTAGTGCGTATGTTAGGATCGGTTCATGATATTACGCGAGATATAGAAGTGTAGGAAATCAAAGTCCCAGCAGATGATTTTTCTTGATTGAATTTTTTATATTTAAGACTGATTAGGATTTGATTTGATTCCCGCGAATGGATGCCTTTTTATGTTGAACTTTGAATGGGTGAGTGATACTACTTACGGTAAAATTGACTTCCATCCTTTTCTTGTGCTCAGAAATATAACAGCTGAAAATAGGGTCGATCAAAAATTTGTGGTCAGCCTGTCACTTTTTCCCTCATCCTGTCAACCAAACTAAAGTACCATGATGGAAAAAATGCAGCATTTCACATCAGAAGCAAATTTCAGAATGCAGCGTTGCGAAATACAAGTGCTCTGTCGTAAATCGGAAGTAATTTTGCAAAGAAAAAATAGCGTTGCAAAAATGGCAGGCTGTCTGGGACACATTATTATAATTGCTTTCCTGTTGAGCATAATTGTTCAGGGATCACCGTGCAGAGAAAACTAGGCTATTATGTACTTGCTGGACACGAAGCTAGATAAGATACTGACTTTTGACATTTTCTTTCTGAACTTGATTTTGTGCAATGCTATGCAAAATTGCAAACATTTCCAAATTAGGAGGAATTCTTGCAAATATTGGTAATGTTTTGGTTCGGAGATGCATAAGATGGCAGGCAGAGTGTCAGCTCAGAAAATTATTCCTTTTCTCCTGAAGTCAGAAATGTCATTCATTATTTGTAGAGAACGAAGAATTTGAGGATATTTTTCTTGTGTCAAAAGGTGTCTTTGAGACATTTCAGGTTGCAATTGAGTGACTATGCACCATTTTTTTACCGGAAGAATGGAAGAGTCACCTTTGGAAAACAAGTTGCTTGAGAGCCAGACGAGCATCGTCTTCGACGCCTTCGAGTGGAAGTTGAGAAATGCAGTGATAGCATGACAACATTCGGGCTCCATTCAACGTCGATAATAAAATGACACAACGGAAGAGGGTCATCATCGGCACATAGTGACTGAAACATGAAATTGTGCGTGAATTCCCAATCCTCAAAATCTCCTCTCAAGCCACGTTTCTTTTCAACGAAAGCGAAACATTGACTGTGGAGCGCGGAAAACAAAAGGAGGCGTGGATAAATAGGGATAAGAGAAGCCGCGACGAGCTGCTATTTTAGCTGCTCCAGCGATAATCGGCTCGAGCAATTCGAATGTTTTGGCAGTTAAAGGATTATCTCGGATTAAGAAGAGTGGCAGTTAGCGGGTCTCTCTCCGTCTCCACGGCAACGATGAGAGCGCCAGCCGCTCCCGCAAGTGTGACAATCCGGTAGGTGGTCCACCCTACCTCATCGAATTCGCGTCAACCAGCCGTCTCTAATCGCTTCCGGAAACGCACCAACACACGCATTTGATACACTCATGTATGAATTTTATAGCTTTCATATCCGTTTGAGGGACAAACGGCCGTTGCTGACTAAGCGTAGGGAAATTTCGGATCCGATCTACAGCCCCATCCGACGTGTGACTCACCTGACAACGAAAGACATCAAATTTCTGCTTTGGATACCGCTTAAGGTGTAGATGTGGTTTTCTGTGCACTCAATTTACTTGCTGCGAAACTTTGACAGATTCCGAAAAGTGGCAGTGAATAAGGAGGCTTCGGAGGCTCAAACATGTACAGGGTGTGGGTGTGCAGGGTGCAGGGTGGGGTCACTTTGGTACTGAATATGTGAGATTGCACACAAGTAAACACTAACTAAAGCCAGAGGCTGCATTCATCATTGATACCTTGAGGTAAATTCTACTTTATGGTAATTTCACTCATTATCTTATAGTTTTATCACTGACAATGAATGATAAAACTACCTGAAAGTAGATTTACCTCAAGGTATCAATGATGAATACGGCCACAGGACTTTGCTAACATACAGCGTGCTTTCTTCGATGCCACAAATAGAAAAATCTCATGATGTGGAATTTTCACTGAAGTGTTTTGAGAAAATTTATTTGCATACCAGTGCGTCACCTCTGCTCGCAGAGGTTCGCACTGGCTTTACCATCCGTATGCCTTGTTCGCGATCGCATAATAATGACTTTGAAAACTCACCGCGCAATGCCGTTCATCATGAATGAGTTGTGAACAACCGTTCATTTTTGGAGCTTTTTCTGTAGAATTGGTAATTTTGGCAGAAAAAAATTTTTCCGAAGAAGCACTAATGCGATTTTGAATGGTTACGGAGTTTATTCTGGCTTTATAGTCGCCATCAGGATAACCGTCACCTTGGGCTACATATCTACTCAAAAATTTTTCCAATCTTCAAAGCAAAAACTTGGCAAATTGACAATTTGCGCAGTTGCACCCTTTTTGCGCCAATTTTGCCTAAAAATAGACGTTTTGACTTTTTATGTTGAAGTCAATGTTTTTCGTATTTACTTGTTGAACAGATTCTCGACTTTGCGAAAAACCCAATTACCGAGCCATTTTGGCGGGCCAAAAGTCGCATGCACCCTTTGGCGCACAGTTTTCAATGGTTGCACTTACTGGATCGGCTTGTACTTTTCCACAGTTTACCTACACGCTGATATGCTATGACAAAAGTTCTAGCTCAAGACGTTGGCTGCACCTCGCTACATGAATTTCGTGACAGACAGACATACAGACAGACACAGACAGACGCTTATTGCTTTACTATAAGTCATAGTAGCATTCACTCTATTGAAGTTTTCCCAATTGCTCAAGCCCTCATAATCAGCCACTTTAGACCACGCACGCTCCCTTCGGACGTGTAAAACACGAAAATAGTTTGAAACATGTATATCCCCTCCACAGATCGTGCTACCCTTTGTCTGCGTCTCAGATCTGCCACGTGAGGCTAACATGTTGGCAACGTTGGCAGCAACACGTTGGCAACATGCAGCAACATGTTGGCGTGGCCAAAATGTTCTGCCAACATTTTGGGTTGCAAACATGTTGTTGCCACGTTGCCAACATGTTAGCCACACATGGCAGCTCTGAGACGCAGACCAAGGGTAGCACGATCTGTGGAAGGGACGATACCTTGAACAGCGGAACCTTAACCCATTGACGACGATGTGAACCACCGGTGGCCCAAGCACTTTTTGTCGCCAGGGAGATGTGGACCACCGGTGGTCCACACCTCTTGCAAAATCGTATCCTTTCCAGGTCTTGTATTTTTTCCAGAGTTCATTATTTTTTCCAGTCTTTTTGTGCTCTTGGAACCTGTAGACTTCGTCGTCCAAGAAAATGGCTATAGTTATTTACAAAACCTTTTTACATTTCGTAAGTAGCCACAAAACTTTCCCGCGCCGCAATTCAAAATCGCGTCGTCCCACAGCGCCGCCGCGCAAAATTAGGCATCGTCGTGAATGGGTTAACAATAGGGACAAAAAGGTCGATGGCGTGGTAAAAAATGTGCAAGAACAAGTTGTACATGTCATCAATATTATTAACAGTAGTAAACGAGCTATACCAATCGAAGTTAGCCAGATATTCTACCAACCTATCATGATCTGCATGCCTAAGGTCACTAAGATATACATATTCGATGTACGATATAGGTTCAACAAGTGGAAACCTACTCAGATAATTGCCTGGGCAGGCTGTCATGCGATTTTCGAGCAAGCGGGCACCCGAAAAATAGCTCGCTGATTTCTTGCGGTCTGCTCGCAGAAATTTGTAAGAATGTTAGCCAATTTTCAGGCGAATGATCTAGAACAACCGCGGTTTTCTATAGATTAGTTGCGGTGCAGTGGCCGCATTCTCGCGGACTTTCCGCGAGAATATGCAAAATTGTACGGGGCCGCGCTCGTTGTGGAGGACGCACAGCCAGTGGGTATCTTCCGCTAAGAGTACCCCAAACTCGGGTAATTAAACCATCGATGACATTTTTGCCACATAGAGTCACACCTTTGCTCGGCGTACGCCCGAAACTGCTTAAAAAGAGTCCGAGCGCTTGCTGAAAGTTTGGCTAGCGTTTGCTGAAACAGATTATTTGACGAGCGCTTGCAGAAAATTCTGTATTGCTGCCTGCTGGCAGAGCATGCGACAGCAAAGAAATTACCGCTCTTTGTGTCGCCACGCCCCAAAATTTTGCCGACCGCTTGCAGAAAGGCGCGAATTTGCGAAACGCCTGCTCAAATATTTGCCGGCGGCAGGCGGTCCGCAAACTCGCGCTTTTCTGCAAGCGGTCAGCAGAATTTTGGGGCGTGGCCAAACCTTCAGCGAGCGGTACTTCCTTTATTGTCTAATGTTCTGCCAGCGGGCAGCAACACAGAATTTTCTGCAGGCGCTCGTCAAATAATCTCCTTCAGCAAATGCTGGCCGAATTTTCAGCAGGCGCTTAGACTCTTTTTACGCAGTTTCGGGCTTACGTCGAACACAGGTAACACTCTTGTGGCAGAGGTGTCACCGTTGGTTTAGTTACTCAAGTTTGAGGTACTTGCTCTCAGGGGAAAGTACCTGGGGGTTGCGCGGTCCTCCATAAAGGACCGTGCGGCCCTCGAAAATTTTGCATACTTTCGCGAAAAGTCCGCGAGAATGCGGCCACTGCGCCGCAGCTAATCTTTAGGGGAACCGCGACTGTTCTCCAAGCATTTGTCTAGAATTTCGCCAAAACTCTTCCAAAAATCTGCAAGCGAACAAGTAATCAGTAAGTAATCAGTAAGTAATCAGCGAACTATTTCATAAATCGGGAGGGGACGCAGGAGTTCCTAGCACCTCCATTCGCACCAGCATTCACACTCCAGAAGGCTCCTCGCACCTTCGCGCAGAGGTCAAGCCCCGCCTATCGCTCTACTCCTTTATTGGTCTCCTTCGGAGACTGCAGAGTGCGGGAATAGCATAGATATGCAAATGCAAAAACTCGTGGAAAATCATGGAAGGTAAATTCCCTTATTATTGCATTTTATAAGCAGAAACCCTTTAACGTACCCGAGAAGGCCTTACAGTACTCAAAGTTAGCATTGAGTGATATTTTTGGTAAGGAGGTAATTTTCTGCAAAAGAATATTTTTCATAGTTTCTGTGTTTCCACATTACCATAGGTCAAAGCTTGCCACGTACGGAAGATTGCTATGACCATCCCAGAAATTTCTTGAGGATGCTTTCGGCACTTGATACTATTCAATACCAAACTCAAAATTACGAACTTTGAAGTGCAATCTTTAGAAGCCTGTTTCTTTGTCTTTGAGGATAGCCAACGAAAAGTTGATTTTGGGTAACTATCTTGAAGGGCAAAACTCACGTCTTGAACAAGCCATGAATCTAGGTTTGGATTTTAGTGAATTATCGGATTCTCTCTCATTTAGACGAAACTATTGCATCGATGTAATAAGTATAGTAGATAGACATTAAGTGTCATATTTTTTTCAGTTTTATAGAGATTCTGTGATCCTATGTGTATTTTATTTGCATCAAATTTGAGCTATACGAAGTTGTAACCAAAAACTAGAAAAATCCAACTGACCGAAAAATCGAAAAAGTCGAAAGTCCGTCAGACATTTGGGACACTTGCAACTTGCTCAATAGACATACTTTCAACCAAACGTATATGTACACTTATCTCGGCTGAAAGTCGAAAAAGGAATTTTCTGACAATGTGATGCCCACACTAATGCATCATGGTCAAAAGATCTCTCAGTAGTAAATTTCGCGTTCGTATATTGTAAAGGCAACATTTCCAAATGGTAGATCTCATAAACTCTAGTCTGTTTTCCATCCTTCATTATTCATCCATAACACTTGAGAAGTATTCTCCGAACCTGCACAACTCGCAATGAAATTAGCCAGTGGGCGGGGCAAATGGGCGGAGCCGTCTGAGAAGTGCGAGGACGCCTTGGGGGTGCTAAGTACCCCTGCAAGGAAAGGCGGCGAGGCTTTGGGAACTCCTGGGCCGCCGCCCCATAAATCGCATGGCCGCCTGTTCCCGGCAATTATCTGAGTGCCTCCGGCGATTGTCTGAGTTGACGAAGTTTTGTATCCCCTAACATTTGGTATGCACGCACGATGAGTTTGACGATTAGACTAAAAGGGAATGTGTATCCAGCGACTCAGACGCATATTGATGTCCAGTCCCTGTTTGAGCTTCTTCAATTTGTAAGGTATTCCGCAACTCGCCTCCAATCTGGGGGCCGATTATAAATCGCTAAGCTTCATTTCAATGGTCATTTTGGTCACTCGTAGAGCTGAATTCAATGAAATTCAGGCCGTCTGTACAAAAGCGCGAATTTTCTGGATTCGAATGGCGGCAGAACAAATACGATTCGGCTGAATTTGAAAATGGAAAATTGCGATTTACTCAAGGAATTGTGGCGGACAAATGCTCATGTTGCTTTGAAGGGACGGTGAGTTAGCCTCTACAACGATGGAATTATGAATTATCACAATCATATCTATCATTATTGCATTAAAAAGTACTTAACAACTGTCAAAGATCACGATTATTACTGTGCTCTCCTCTAAGAGTTTGAACCAAAAACTTTTTCATTATATGTTCACGACAGAATTTGAGGAACTTCGCGAGGGTAGTAATACATAGTCTTCCACTTGTCATCTTTGAGAAGATAAATTCCATGATCGGCAATCCAACTATACGAATCAAAACATCTCTCCTGCTTCGCTTTTCGACTTCTGAAATATGGAGCACTTAGGCATCGGACAGGCGTGCAAGAGGATACTTTAGGGCCGCGCATGGTCGCGAAGGCCGGGACATTGCGGACATTGCCCATGTCACAATAACCCAAACTGTTAAAGGCACTGTCCAGGTTAATTGGAGTGGTGGGATTTTGACGCAGTGCGGGGGCACGGCTTTTGACCAATTCAACAGCTCAAGTCCGATCGAAAAAGTTAGATTCTAAAGCAAGGAAATCGCTTCGAGAAAAGGCGCGGTACGCTAATCCCGCCTCCTTGACAAGTTTTGACGTGGTTAGTACATTAGATCTATACGTTTTTTTAGAATCCACCTGTTCTGATCGGACTTGAAATGTTGCATCAGCCAGGTGCCATACTCCCGCGCTGTATCAAAATCCCACCACTTTCCAGTTGATCTGGACGATGCCTTCAAATAACCCCCATTCGCTTCAAAAAATCGCTTCAAGTGGTTGAAAGCTGACATCTGAAACGAGAAAAGCGTTTGAGGGCAATCAGGCACAGCCCTACACCTAATAGCGAATTGGAAATACTTATTAATCTACCAAACGAAACAACTTATTTGGTAGGTGGTAGGCTGATAACAGCCTGCGTTGTGTATTAAAAAAATTATCACTTACATTACAGTCTTTCCATCAACTGTGACAGTGACTTCTCCAATAAGAAATGGATTCTTGTTGTAAAGTTTGTTATCGAAGGATTTACTCTTGTCCCATTTACTTGCCTAAACCTTTTTCTTTGCACGACAGAAGACTTGTTTACTTGAGTCTACTGACTTTTTCAAGTGATTGAAGAATTTTGCGAGATGCTGTCAATACAAAGTTTTGATGTGCAAGGGACCCCCATCTATCCCTCAGTCTCAGTAAGAAACATCTGAGTTAGATAGTTAACAGTCATGACTTTGGTCACGCATGTAATGAATGCGCTAAAAAAGGATTGATCAGAAGCTGAAGGTCCATTCTTAGCAATTTGCACTTTGTATATACGATCTCTTCCTACTAACAATAAGACGGTTTATAACTTTGTCCACAAACTTTCAGCGGATAGAAGAAAGCAGGTTTGGAATCATCATCCTAAGCTGCATTTCGGGCCATTTCCTTGCTATGGAAAGCAGCGAGTTAAGCATATGCGCAGTACGCCTTTGCTAGCTTTTTATAATTACCCCTAAAATCTCACAAATAAGTCCGCTTTTCTGACCCAGATAAGGCCCTTCGGATAAGTCGGCCCCTCAGATAAGTCCTTTTTTCTTCCCATTATAACAACCCCAAAGTCTTGTCAGATAATCCGAAGGCTGTCAGATAGACCCGGACTTATTTGCAGACGATTTACCTGATAAGAGGCCCTATCTGCGAGATTTTAGGGTAGTTTGGAAATGATTTAGACAAATTAACAGTTAATAAATATCTCGTCAAACGCACCTTTCTGCCATTACCGCCATTCCAGAACATATTGCCTTCTGGAAAATAGTAGTACCAGTATCCAGTCTCTTTAGTGAGTCGCAACAGACGGACATGGAGTATGATGTGATATATGTTGTTCTTATTCTAAAGAGAACAATAAGTTAGAAGAAACGTTTAAAGAAGAGTCATGAATCGATATCGTTGTCAATTTGATAAGGGGTTGTAATTTGAGGAGTATATATGCTAATTGATTCTTGTCAAATATTTGAAGTTTTCTGTTCATGGCTGCTACCTGTCCTTTAAGAAAGCACGATTTCCAGCATACTCCGTCGGTCCGGCGTAATTTTAGCTACAGTATGAAGCCAACGCGCGGAGAAAGGCAATTTGGTTGCCTCATCTTTCTTTTGGCTAATATCGGTTTCTAGCGATGTATCCTGCTCCTTCATACTATGGTCGAAAATCGACACATTTGTTATCAGGTTGGAAAGAAAGTTCTCGGACACTTTCAGACTAAAACTGCTATTTCTCGAATAATGCGTGTACACACGTGAGAGATACCATTCGATAGAGCAAAGCAAGCTCTACAAGAAGGTGTGCAAAAGTTCGCACCAGCTTCGATCCACCGTAAGTTTGTGCCCAAAATCTGAGTCATATTGAAATTCAAAAAATCGCGAAAAATTCGTATCTTTGTTCAAACAAATCCTACGGATCTCCAACTTGCTCACAAAAATTGCACCACTCACATGTACCGTTCCTGTATTTTTTCCTTATCTTAGAATCGAGAAAATAAAGATTTTCATGCTCGTATAAAAACGAAGCTACGCTGTTCCCACACGTGTAACTGCATAGTACACCCCATTAGAAGGATAACCGTGAATTTTAGCTTTCTACAGGCTCTAGTTTCCAAAATTTACCGAACTGAGTTCTCCTCACTCGGGTGTTCCCTGCTGAAATTACAAAAACCAAGTCAAGGGGACTTCGTTCTTTGCTTTTTCAACTAGCTACTTCGTGCCGAGCCCTGGCTATAATCTGTACGAGAACTCCTGTGATCACCTGTCTTGATAAGCCCCCAAGCGCTGCAACAACACTAACGAAGCTATGGGCTAGAGCATGCATAGCTTACTCAGTCATAACCGTAAGACCCACCACAAGTCTGGGCCTCTTATGTTAGCAGCCTTCGCTCCGCACGTTCAAATACAACTGAATGCTGAAGAAACCTGTAATTTTGCGCTTTCTGAGCTACATTTATGAAATCAGATAAGCTCATATAAGCGAAAAGTTCTTTAACTGAGGTTTTACCGGACGCTGCCTTCGTAATAGCTTATCAACCGCCACATATTCGTATGCGCGAAGCTTTAATGCCCAATACACGCATTTATAAAGAAAATGAAAACCTTGGCCCGTAGTAAAGCTAATTCAGTTCATGTGAACTGAACTGAGGCCCTCATCCAAGATTCGGTAAGGTAGACTGGCTACACCAGCTTCCCATGTAGTAAGAATGCAAAATGAAATTTCTGCTGACCGTCCGTCTACCTGACGCGGTAGTCTGCCTCATTTCAGTCAACCCACATTCAGTTAGACTACCAACTGATTTAAATAGTGTGTCAATGATGATGAGCAGAGAAACTTCTCGTAAGTTACTCCTGAGTAACTTACGATACACGTCAACATGTCGGTGAGGAGCCACAGTGATGCTGACGAGACTTAACAAGATCTAACTAGTGTGGCCATATCCCCGCTGCTAGCCCAATGACGTAGATGTGAATGTTTGGCAAACTCGTCTTGAATCATATACTTGCATGGACGTGGCGCTCTCAATCTTTTCATCGTGGCTGATTGGTAATATCAATCAATGGCTCGACTGAAGGCAAGCTGACTCGTCGAAGCCTCAACTGGAATTTTATTCAGCTGAGATCGAATGAAGCAGCTTTACTACGGGCCCTTGTCTTTAATAGAGCCTACAATGAGATTACATGGCAAAAAGATCATCAGTTGTTCTCCAGGAAACTTCAAAACCAATAGAAAAGCATTTCCAATATCTAAAAACTCACACTTCCAGAAGTTTTCATCTCGAATGATCCACTGCATGCTTTCGAAAAAGACTGACATGCAAAAGGTGCCCTGAATTTGGTTTAGGCACAAAGCTGATGATTAGAAGTTCTTTCAATAGCAACCTCACAGTTTCTGCGGTTAAGGCCCTTGCGGCCGTCACGCTACTTTGTGCGCGTTGCGTGAACGTATTCTTTAGGCATTCCGTGCTTGAGCAGCGAGTGAAATGCTTGGAGGACAACTCCACGAACGCAACGCTAGGTCGATCGTGGTGGGTTCGAGGGCCTAATCCGCTACAACCGTGAAGCTGCCACACAACCTGTTTGTTTATGACTAACGTTGTTTGTGCTGCAATTCTATTGTTCTCATCGGTTTGGATCAGACTTATCGAGTCGATGACCAGGTTGTCGTCTCCAGCTGTATGAAGTTTCCCACACTGTGTCTCAGGCTTCAGTGTGTACTTAAAAAACAATTACACTATCAGATTGCAAGCTGACGCGCATTGAAAGCGATTTAGGGCACAATTCGATACCAGAGTGGATAGCCGCATGCACTGTACCAAAATCACAGTCACAGTCGCTGAGCTACCATACCCAATGCTGTCAGTAAATCTGCCGATAATTAGAGCAGATTGAGCCGAAGTCTCATGTACTTAGGAATTTCGTTTTGTACTGGGGCTGTTGATGGTGATAAAATGATTTTAGCCGCTCTGTCACCCAACAAACACTTGTTGTACCGTTATGAATTAACTCATCTTAAGTCAGATTAATGTAGGATCGGATTTTTAGGTCAAAGATTTTGCTTTCATTTCTTCCGAATATAAATTATGAGAGCCATTCGGGACTACAAAGGCCATGGTTCTAAACAGGAGTGTGTAAACGTTACTTTCGAATATAAATTAAGCAGATGCCAACGCGCGACAGACGGACAGTAAGTAGAGTGCGACGAAGTTGGTAAGCACAACCTAGACAAGAAAGACGCGCACAACCGAGTAAATATCCCTACATGAGCGTTTACAAGGAAAGGATACTTGGTCGAAGTGGAGTTTCCATAAGACATGTAAACTGTCTTATAGAGCATGGAACGCTGAGTCCAAATGTGCTTTTGGTATCTGCAAAGCGCTTTTGAGATGAGAGTTATGAGAGCTTTTTAAGACAAAAATTCAAGGTTTTTTAAGGTAAAAACGAGCGTTGAGATTTTTATGGCGCTTGAGTGAAGTAACGGCTAGCTCAAATTTCTTACAATGAAGGTATTAACTGCAGAAAGCGTCTTGGCAGCAATCATAATCTCCTCCAAGCTCACAGACTACAGTTTTCAAGATTTTATTGCAGGTGCGTCTCGATTTTTACGTCAAAAAAATTGCATAACTTCCCTCCCGGAAGCTCTTTGCAGATATCGAAAGCAATGCTCTATAAGACAGTCACATGGAAACACCACTTCGACCAAGTATCCTTCCCTTGTTAGAACACATGCGAATAAAAAACACTGCAACATTTTTGAGAAATTCTGGTAATCAAGACAATAAAAAAAAGTAAAGGCGATTTTCTTGACATGACTCCAATGCAGTTCTTCAAGAATTCTACAATTTCGAAGAAGGAGTCGTCGATTAGGAGTTGCGAGTATCGATCGTGGACAGAGGTTTGGAATGAGGAAAGAGTTACAAAATGATACAAAAAGAAACGTTACTGATTATGAATGAATGACCAAGCTTCCTCCTCTACTGTTCCCCGCGTTAGTCAATGTAACGCCACCTCGTAACAAATCCTAACTTCCATCCATAATCAACGAGTGTGCTCCCTAAATAGCAGAGGAGATGTAACGTCTCATTATATTTTAAAACATAGGTGCTGCTGCATTCTATAAGACAATATGTAAGCCACTGTTGAGACGCCGTCCACTCAAATATTTTCCAGAGGGCATCCTCACCTCATCTCAAGACCGTGACTTCGAAAAACAAGTTCAAATACGAGGTAAACCCGATATTTCCCTTTCTGAAGGGGTTTTTGGCCAACATAAACGAGGACAGCGGTACAAGCGCCGTTAGATGCAAGCAAGACGCGTTTTGAACGTAGTAAGCGCAGATGCTACATAGTATGATCATTGATCGGGCTTTGCTACTTTAGAACGTGGCAAGGGAAACCTTCGGATGGGCGAAAAGGCCCCACTGTCTCCGTCTCTTTCGATATCTCGGAGCAGGGCTCAGCAGAAGTAGCGCTTTCACACGCTAGATGTCATTTTTGAGGGGAAAGCAAAGGAGAACTCGTGAAATTTTAACCCGGAAACCTGATGAAAACAAAAGCATAATGTCTGACTCTGACTCTGAGCAAGCCCGAATTTAAAGGTCTAATGTGATTATACGAGTTACAGGTAAATTAGCATGTTACAAACACGACTAGTGCATAAAGCTGTGTTCACACGATTTCACTTTATCAAAAACAATCTTTACGAACAAAAATATAAACGATCGCTTTGTTAACAACATTGAGTCATCAAATTTTGATGTGTACGCCCACGGCGATGATCAAAAGAAAAGTTGGGAATTTATGAAAAAATTATGTGAACGGGAAGAGTTGTAAGTGTTATTCGATTTTATGTTGCTCGCGTGCAACCTGGGAGCACCCTGAGGTTGCGCGGATCCAGACAGTTATGAATCCTCGAAATTCTCCCCTTCCTCACATAAATTTTCAAATTGTTTTGCATAAATAATGCTTTAGATAAGCTCTACCTTTGAGTACTCACCTTTACCCAAGTTCCGTCCCCTATGCTTTTTTACGGCTCTTGATGTCATAAAAACAGCCTTTTTCCTCATTTCGCTTTCTAAAATTTGACTCTTATATTTTCCTCAATTCAATTCGTTTTTTATTGTGGCAGATTATTAGAGGAGTCTCTACAAATACTGCAAAAGGTATTCCGTTATTTTCTGCAGAATCAAGGGGAAGTTCGTTTTTGAATTCCTCATATGCCACCTCGTGCTGGGCCCTGTCTCGGAGAGATTATCTTGCTTAGAAACAACCGCTTGTTTTCAAACTTCGGCCATGGTTTAGTGAGGAGGCTCACTACCGTGTACCGTGGTATTACGACCCTCAACTTAGGGTGGATGGTGATTTTGAATTAATGAGCTTCACATCATCCAGACGTCAGATTGCAAGAATAGAGCAAGTCTAATTTTGTTTGATAATATGCTTAAGCTCCCGAACCTCTCAGTAGAGGTGTAACACGGCAGATAAACCACTTGATTAGCCGATGAGATATTTGCTGCAAATAATCTAGATCTGACCTCAATTCTCGTGTATTACCCGCCCTGGCGGCAGGGCAAGGCATAGCTACATTTGATGAATTTATGAACCTCTTGAAGATTGCTTTTTAGAATCTCCCTCAAAGCCGCCAGCTGCATAAGGTGCCTCCGCTTTAGCACAAATCCGTTTCACTCACCTGAACAGAACTAGCTCCGGAAGATACCACCAAGGTCGCAATCAGAACAACCGCGTAATACATCTCCATTGATTGTAGTAGAACACTTGTGAATCAGCAGTTTCGTTGAACCTGAAAGCTGTAAATGAACATTACCGCCAGCCTCCACTCAAATGCGTTTCATACATGTTTTTATACACAACTCATTCGTCCAAGCGGACGATGCAAAATTCGCGACCAAAGCGTAGTTCTCTCTCAGCGAGGTTCCCATAAATGAGCTCGAGCATTCAGCTTGCTCTCTCGTGTTAAGACGCTTACCGTAAGAATTCAGAGCTCTTCCTTTCATGAAAACATGCGGTTTTCTCCTGCTAGCCTTATTCACACCAATTCGGTGCCATATTATTTTCTGAAGGGTGAAAGCTAGACAGAACAGCAAGCAATTTGAAGTCCTCCTCTCTTAGGCCCCAGACAGACTTCACGCGATTTGATCGTCGCGACTGAATCGCGACGAGACAACTGTTACAACATCATTCCATGCCGATCAACTTGCATTTCGGTTGTGATACTTTTCCAGCCCGAAATTTTTGAATGTGAAACGAAAATGGATGGAAATGTCGGCGATTGAGTCGCGACGATAAAATCGCGTGAAGTTTGTCCGGGGCCTTAGGCCGCTTGTAAGCATCACTGGCAGAGAAAGGAGCGTTGTTCGAAGGAAAGCTTCATATCCTGAAGCTTCAGAGAGCTGAATGTCAAGCTCCTATCCATTCTCAAGTGTTACTACTACTCTTTAATATAAGCATTGAACAAGAGCATGTTGCTGTATAAGCCGCTTTTTCTGACTTTTTGTGTGATCCCTTAATAATTTGAGGGCCGCATGCATTAGCAACCCCACCGGAGAGGGGATCGCAGCTCAAATAATAGGTTGATGCATAATTCCTGCACCAAAATAGGTACAGACTCGGAATAATCCTATATCCCAAATAGGATTCGATATATCATTAGATAAAGAAACCATAGCTCAACAAGATAGTGCTCAAATATCTGTACTAGCTTCAATCCACGCGAAGTTCTGACCCGAAAAATGTAAAAAAACCATGCGTTCGAAAACCTTAAGACCAATCAAAACAAAATTGTAATTTTGTTCAAAAAGCTCCTACAAAATTTCTTTCTTGCTCGCGCGTAAACATTCCACGTAAGACATTTATCTATCGGTTGTTTTTTTTCTCAGCTACACGATGAGAAAAAGAAGTTTTTCATGTTTTTACCAAATTAGTGCTGAAATGTTCTAGCACTAACAGTTGTATACAATACCACCCGTAATTTGTGAAAAAAATGGCGGCGGCACTTAACTCACGCGGCGCCGCCGCAGTTAGGTGACAAACGCCGCGTCGCGCGACAAAAGTCGGCGGAAAAGCGGCATTTGCCGCCTAACTTTGCCGCGCAACGCCTAACTTTTTCATAAAAAAGACGTTATCTTGATCCAAAATTTATGAAGTTTATATATAAGAGTACCATTCAACTCAGCTCGGCGAGGCGCATCTTCCAGTATGCAGATGTGCCTAGTTGTGGGATATAAGTTTTTTCCTGGAATTTTAGTGTAAATGGATCATTCAGTGTGCTGATTCCAAAGGCTACATACACATTCTGTTGGGCACTGCAGAAATAGGGCAGGTATAGTTTAAGAGCTCATTCTGCATGGATATGTGTGAAAGTGGGCTTCTCTCGGCGAAGTATGACGGGTCCCAAAATGCAGGAAGAAAAAGGGAAATGGTTGGAAATCGCATGAGAAGCACATATCGCGGAATGCCGCGCGTGCTGTGCAATGTACAATACCACTCACAGAACGGGAATTGCGCGAAATTCCAGAAATTTCGCGATTCCGGATAATCGTAAATTATGCAGCGCCATAACTTCCTTCGGAATTAATATATTCTAAATTCGAAAGCAGCACTGTGTTCATCTCGTCAAGGCGAATCTTTCTACATACGTCATGTCATCTATATCTTGTTTCCAGTTTTCTCAAATTGTTCTGAGGAGGTCCCTTTGCAAGTATGTAACGCAGCGCCTATCCAACATGAAAGCTTCCAGTAAGCCTCATTCGATAGTGCTCTTCTTGTACATTATAGTGCGCTAGAAAGCTGCCGCGGACTTCTTTTCGAAAGAGAAAAAAGCGTTGGTAAATTCTGAAAAAATCACTCGTTTCCAGATTCTACTCGCCGTAACTTTCTTTGGAGTGGATATTTTCTGAATCCAAAAAATGCATGGTGCTCAGCTCATCAAGGCAAATCTTTCGGTATGCAAAATGTCTTTGATATCTCGATTTCAGTATTCTCAAAACTTTCTGCGGGCGTCTCTTCGCAAAGGTGTGAAGCAGCGCGTATTGCCCCCAGTAGATTCAGAAAGAAATTTTCGATAGTACTTTTTCTGTAGATTATGGGGCACTAGAAATTAGCCGCACACTTCTTTCCAAAGGAGTGGGAAGGGCTGGTGAATTCTGGAAAAATCATGTCGTTCTAAATTTTTCTCAATTTAACTCTAAAATATGAAGCTCTCTTGCTGAGCAGATGTGATTTTCGTAATCAGCAGGTCGGATAACCCTTATGAGCAAGTTTTCCGAGATGTTCGGGTTATTTCATTTCTTCTCGTTTTACGCTCTGGAAGCCCGCCGATGGATTTTGGTCAAAATGTTCATGCTCTTAAATTGTAAGGAAACTTCGCTTATAGAGCTTTTCGAACACGCTCTTTACGAAAATCAATGTCTTTGAGGATTACAGGGTCTTTTTGGTGAGATGCGGTGAGGTGACTGTAACTGCATCACGAAAGTGCGTAAATTTGCCCGCACCTCTCGCGTATCTGTCAGCAACCTTGCCTGCTTTCTTTTCTCAGTCAAAATTACTAGGAACTGTGCTATAGAATGGTGCATTACTCAGGCTCCAGTCTGTGAAATTCGCCGAGTTACGAGCCTACGAAAACACGTCCTCATGAATTTTGCCCAAAATGTAAAGATCGCAAATCTCGTCGAAATTCCACCATGAGCGCTTGTATGACACTCGCATTGCGGATACTGTGTTCAATTTCTAGCTGAGAGAAAAATACAGCAACGGCATAGAGAAATGTCTTATACAAAACTAGCTGGCTTATCCGGCTCTGCCGTATGTTCCGAATTGAAAATTCCATTTCTTAACCGATCCGGACCAAACTTAGCACACATACACTTCGGGCCCCGGCGGGTGTCACAGTCCACTTTTCGTTATCGATCGATGTCGATTTTATCGATTTTTCGCAAAGTTTGAGCTATAGCTTTGAGCTGCTCGATTACACCCCTGTGCCCGACATCGATCGATAACGAAAAGTAGCCTATGACACCAGCCGGGGCCCGAAGTGTATGTGTGCCAAGTTTGGTCCGGATCGGTTCAGAAATGGAATTTTCTATTTGGAACATACGTACAGACAGACAGACAGACAGACAGACAGACATACAGACAAACAGACATTCAGCTTTATATATAAGATGACAGTGCATGAGCATGTTAGGAATTTCAAAGGATTCTTCTGAACGGACTTCCAATTTTTTCTTGGTTTTTTTTTGGGGCGCTTGGATCTTTTTCGTTTTTGGCTTCAACCTTCGATTGGATCAAAGCTGGTGCAAAACTTTAAGTAATATCTTGTAGAGCTAGGTTTGCTCTATCTAATGATATATCGAATCCTATTTGGGATATAGGATTATTCCGAATTATTGCGGTCTGTACCTATTTTGGTGCAGGAATTATGCATCAACCTGATAAATTCATTTCCTCAAGTTCCAGATATCACATTTTACGCTGTCTACTTATCCGTAAAAATTCCCACCATCTTTCACTACGAACATATTGAAAAGGAGTAAGAAGGTGTACATGCCGCATATTCCAGCTTTTTGTACGATCCCTTGATGATCCCCAGCGGCTGACCTTCTTTTCTTTTGAGTCTTTTTTCTTTCTTTAGGGCCAACCAAGACATTCCAGAGTTGTACCAATTACCTAACCCAGCAGTGCTAAGCATGTTGCTGATAAGAACAGACGATGTTCTGGAATCATGAAATTTGCGATGAAGAACAAGTCGAAAGTTGGTGTTTATCGAAAAATTCGATATTTTAAAAACTCATTTGTTCTTATCAGCAACATGCATAGCGCTGCTGGATTAAATAATCAGCATGATTTTGGAAAGTTTTCGTTAACTTTGAAGAAAGAAAAATGACTTTAAAGAACAGACGGTTGGCCACCGGGAATCATCTAGGGATCATATAAATAGCTGGAAAATGCGGCCTGCAGCTTCTTGCCTCTGTTCACATGTTTATAGCGAAAGAAGGTGAGAATACCTACGGATAGGTTATACGACGTGAAGTCCAGATATCTGGAGCTTCCGGATATAAAGCTTTCTTTTGAGCTGCGATTCCCTCCCCGGCGGGATGTTAATGCCTGCAGCCCTGAGTTTCAATAATGCCCGTTTCGACTTGTGGTTCATTGAAATTCCTGGGATTTCGATGGCTCATTTGTTCTTATCAAAAACAAATTAACACTGTTGGGTTAGAGTTCAGTACAACTTTGAGATGTTTTCATTACGCTTAATGAAAGAAAAACTCAGAACATTGCGGTTGAGTGTCAAGGAGATCCGCAGATGGGAGATCGCTAAAAAATCGTGGTCTTGTGGGACACCAATCTTGTCCCAACTTTTGGGGTCAATCCGATGCTATGGATTGGGCACTGCGGAACAGAAATACGCTTTCTTTTGATTTCCGTTTCTTGAGCTAACGGTAGTTTCATTCGAACAACATCTCAGGCAAGCTTAAGGATGGCGCATAAAACGATTTGTATTGTGCGCCGCGGCCCTCGAAATTCAGCTCTGGCACGACGACGGCTTTTAGTTTCAAACAGGTACTCCGCGAGCCCTAAATTTCCAGTATGGTGCTTGGCGAATCATGCAGTTTTCGGCTTAGAGTGCGAAATCGTACTTTCCCCGAACTCGTCGTAGCGGCGCCTCAGACCACTGCCCCACTCGTTCCCCTTCAAAAAGCAAGCAAATTAGACCTTTCAAAGTTCGCATTGATTTGATTGTTGCTCAATATTTGTCATTGCAGAAAGTAAACTATCTGCTGGCATGTCTCCTTAAATTGTCTTCAAAACAGGAGGTAGGACTGTAACTTTATTCTTGCACTACCAAGGAAACGTTCCATAATCGCCTGATGCGTCATGACTGCACGGGGGGTGTATGCCAAGATGAACGATAGCTGGAAATAAGCATACTGTACTCGCGCGGCTGTCAATATGCTGCGCATAAAGTCTTATTTTTTTAAAGCAATATGTTCTTTACAGGATTAGTGGTATTGGACAGTAAGAATCAGAGCATACCAAGCTCCCAGCGTTTTTTCCAGATCTTTAGTTCCAACATAGCGTCAATATAAAATTTGAAAAATATTTGATCCCACTACACATATGGCTGGCACAAGCTATCGTTCATGTTGACTGCTCCCCCTGCACGGGTCCGCATGTTGGCACGAACATATGCTAACCAGGCAACATATATTGAAGTCTATGTCACCAGGGTTAGTTACTCACCAGTAAGTGAGATTCTGTTCGAAGATGAGACTGTAATGGTCATTATTCCAGTATACAATAACAGTAAGAGCTGCAACATTGGTAAGGTCTCATGCTGTCGACTGATGGCTGACCGCACTAATAGCACTGACCGAATTGACTGCGGTAGCCTCAGCAGCCACTGCATTGGGGTGCGTCAGTGATTCAAGTAGGTTGCTGCTGCAATGATCTTCTTATTTCTAGAGGCCACACTCATTTATTAGGTTGATGCAAAATTAATCCATAGTCCAGCAGTTTGTTAAAACAGATAGAACTTTTAATGTTTTTGAAAGCAAAAATTGCGGTGATCGTTTTTCTTTGAATGAGATGGCAGGTCGTAATTGTTGCAAATGTTTGGTGTCTTAGGATGTAACTGCACAAAAAAAATTGAGAGCCAATGAATGCGATAGTGTTGAAACAACAGGTGGCTCTAGAATTTCGTCCAGTAGGGGTTTTTCGAATTTTTCTATTTTTCTTCGTTCGATCTCAACAAGATTGGAACCAGTTGCAAGGATTACCTAATGGTGTTCCAATATGCACACTATACAGCAAAGTTTCAAACAGATTTATCAGCAAGAACGCAGGCTGCGATAATTTTTGAGTGGCCTTATAATTATGTCCAGCACTGTAGAATTGGTTAGATTTCCAGTACAAATGCGTCGAAGACGTGTTGGCTCTTTTTGTGGTGGAAATTTTTTGGAGGACTTTTAGTTAAGTAAATTTGTGGTGTTACCTGTTAGGCCTTCTCATCTGTTGAAGTCCTCGTGTTTTCGATGATTGCTGGCCTTCCAAACCTACAGTGGTTTTCCGAAAATTTTTAATGCTCCACATCTAATTGTAAGTCTTTTAGTTTTTCAAAAATTCATGTGTTGATCAGCTAGCACATTTTCGTATCCTACTACATCCGCATATAAACTGAAGCAACGCACCATTTATTTGGAATTAAAGTTGAAAAAAGCATGTGCGTTGCTTTAGCAAGCGAATTTGATTTTTTTCGAAATACATGTGTAAATTATGAAGAAGTATTGATTAGTTTCAGTAGTAGTATGAAACAGTATGAAACAAACCCATAATGCTAGTAACACTGATAACACGTGTAACACGGGTAGCACGGGTAATGTATGGCCGTAGCCTAAAAATCGAACCCTAAGTTAAAAATTTTCACACCCAGAAAGCCTCACCGGTTTGCAGAAGTCAGGGCAGGGTCATTACGTACATGCTCAATCACGACGTCGCACAACGAGGGAGTCAAAATTGCGCCCCAACCAAACGGATACGGCTCTGGTTCAGGAGTCACACCGCTCGCCGCGCTCAAATTTTGTGTCTCACAATAGCTCCGGTGCTAAAGTAGCACGGAGCTATTGTGAGACGCCACAGTAGGGGAGTGGAGGGTGGCGGCAGATACATGACTCGATGGCATAAGTAACATTGCGACAGGAGTACTAGCGGAAGCTGAGTCTTGTACTGCTTGACGTCGCGTTGCGGCGTCGCTTCGCGAAAAATCGTGACTCCTGACCCGTAGTCAACGGATACCTTGTTCACAGCCAAAATTTGAAGAGGAATTTTATGACAAAATTTGAAGAGAATCGCAATTTTATGACATGAAACGTGCTGTGTACATGCGGAGTGAATTCGACCGTACCTGAGTAGTCTATAGAAATCTCATGAGAATGAAAGTTGGGATCAACTTGTATCCCAGCTGGGTATCAGCTCGGTTGGGACTTTTTGCTCGCATGATTTTGCCTAGTCTTCCTATAAACTGTACGCGAATGTTGAAAATTTTCATACTAGCACAAAGGTTTCATACTCCTTCTCCTACCCTTTTTTCATGTTGGTTTAATAGCAAAGCGTGCCCCTAAACAAGCCAGCGCGCGAATGTTCTATTTTCAGCAGACGTTCCTCTTCATCATCTTGCCTTCTCTTTCACTCTTCCTTTCACATGACAGGAGTGTAAAGGAAGCTAAAGGAAGGTGAGTTGGTAGAGAACAGACGAGTGACCAGATGAGTCTCAGGCTTCGACCATGAAGCAAGACAAGTTCGAATTTTACTCACAGAGGGAACCATGATCTTCGTCGAATAAATGCTGTAGTAGGGGTTTTTGGTCCTTTACTAATAGTTTAAAGTTGAATGAACCTGGGCTAGAGAGTAGTGAAGGGACTTTCAAAAACATCAAAGGAGACTTCGTGATTTTGCGAAATCACTGTGGACTTCTTTTCAAAAATCCTGATATTAGCTCGTGCCCCAGCACCTTAGAATCGTCTCGCATAGTGCTCTTTATGGAGATCAACGTGGGATTTTGCAACTGTTTATACAATATAAGCGTTGTGATAAACTAGCCACCATTTCAAATTTTCAGAAAACTTGAAATTTTGTTTTGAGGTCAGAAGGTTTTTAACTGTGTAGGGTTTATACAATACAATATTGCTTTTCCGAACTGAAATAACAGCCGCTACCGCATAACTATGTAGCGCAAGAAAATATGGAGAAAAAACACTCACACTAATGTTAGCTATTCAGATACACTTAGTAGAGTTTTCCTCCCAGGTTATACTTGCCGCAATTTTCAATCCTCGATGGCTTTAAAACCATCTTTGAAATTTCTCTACGGTACTCTCTGAAACCGCAAAATCAGCTGAGGCAAGACCATTGAACATCGCACACTTGTGCATTTTTTGAAAAACTGTATTTTTGTGCTACCATTACTGTTTTTACATAATTAATAAGTTCGTAAGTAGAAGAAAGACCATTTATACAATAAACATTTCTAAAAATATGCTGTTTATATATGCAATGTTTTGATATTATGAACGTGAAAGAATGAACTTCTAGCTAAGTTTACAATGGACACCCGTCTTGGGGAGAATTCGCTTCGCAAGGCAACAAGAAAGGCAATATATCGGCGTATCACAACTTATAGGCAAGTGAATGTGTATGTAGGCAAGAGGGAGGAGTTCCAGAATGATAAACGAATAAAATGAAAAACAAATACACGGAAAAAATAACGAAAGAACGGTTAATGAACAGTAGGAGATTAACAAGATAAATGAAAACTCGGTAAAGACATATCGCAAAGGCAAGAACTTGTAGAGAGGATAGTTATTGAGTACACAACAAATGGCCGGATTATTCTTCGGGTTTCATTTCGGGCGAATCTAGCTTAGCTACAACTGCGTCGGCATCGACATCTTCGTGCTTCACCTGCCAACCGAGGGATTTTGCTTTGACGTAGTCGGGGAAGCATTGATGCAACATCGTGTTCCATTCGCTTCTCATCACATCGGTCCTATAAAATTCGAGTTGGGAACTCGATGGGAGGAGTGTAAAAAAGCTTAGACAGAATGGGCACTGAGAGATTCTTCATCTGTACTTGGAAATCTTATGAAGAGTATGGAGTGAATAGAAATCAATGATCAAGGACCCCAGATCTTCCTTTGTAAGTGGCGGTGCAAGATCTTCATTTCCGGAATTAATTGAGACCGAGAAATTTTAAAAAGCAGAGGTACAAAATCGAGTTTTTCTTCGATTTACTCTATCATTTGCGCAGATAGGCATTTTTTTGTGTCCCTGCTTTTTCAAATGCCTCCTACAAAACTCTTCTGACCTCTCAAGCAATAAACCTTTTCCGGGACATAAACAATCTCTGATATACTCAAGCTTCAACAAAGTTGATATAAAGATCTGCGATGCGGGATGCGACATAGATTTTCGAATTTTAGGTGCAGAAGAGACTATTCTTGCAAAAATGATAGGAACAGGATTCTATCAAGTAAAAGAACAAGCTAAGTTTCATAGGTAGCCCTTAGAGAACTTCATCTACTGTAAACACAACATTGTAATAGAATCTGATTCCTTTATTGCGAGGTAAAGGTAAATAGATGGCATTTCAAGTTATAGGTCTTACGCAGCTATATGATATATTCTTTTGCGATTTTTAACTTTAAAAATTCATAGAATATGATAGGAGTTCGATGTCCTTATTGCCGTCGCCGAAAGTCGCCTCTTGACCTAAGGAAGAATGAAAGAGGGATGGGCTTTCGGGTGAAAGGAAGGTACAAACAATCTTTTCTAATCATGGTCCTGCTAATTTTCTTCAATAAAAAACTTACGTAATGTCGTGAGCATCGTCGCTACGATGATTCGTTTGGCGGGCATGCGAGATTACATTGCTCTTGATCCCGATAAAGTCACAATCCCAACATTGGTAAGGCTTCGAATCCGAATGAATCATGATCACGTGCCGAAGCAGGTTCCACCGAGAGCCGGTCGAGTTCAGTGTCGTTGGTTTTCCGCAGAGCTGCAAAGACAGCGGCTTATTAAAAGATTGCACTTTAGGAACACAAAAAAGTTAGTCATGTATTGGGAGAAGGTCTAGAGAACTAGAAATTTACAGTAAACGCTGCAATCAAAAATTATAAAAATAATTGATTTTTGTAGTCTATAGAGGAGATTGTAGCAGTGTTGATCATTGGCGGACATCTCCTATCGGGAATGGATCGCGAAATTTTTGAAAGTTCTACAAATAAGATCTAATGTGCGAATGCTTGTTTTGAATGAATAAACAAATAATTTCTGAAAATTAACAAATACTCAAACGCTGCAGGCAAATGATCACGCCCGTTTTCTTGAAAAGGGGTTATGAGCCCGCAAAATCTTAGAACATCCCAAAAAGATTTTTGGATGGAGTGCCTGGATCATAGTGAGGTTCAAAAGTTATGCACTTCAGAGCTCTTAAGCATCTTATGTTTATGAAAAAAATCAGCAATCTCATTTCTACTGTCGAAACTGACAACTAAGAACTCATCCACACGTTGTTAGAAAAAAAAGATACTTATGAGTTGAGAATGATGATCTCAGAGGTCTGCACATCAAAAGAGCCGATCAGCAAGTTTTTAAAAGTAAGGCGATTAGTACGCTTACTAAGTGAATATAGTCTCCATTTGCCTTTGCAGAGAGTTCTAACTTCAAAATTACTTTCACCGCACATTTGCAGACAGTTTTTCTTCATTGTGAAAACGGAACCGACCGGCCTTTGTGCGTTTGCAAAGTCATAATGAAGACGCAAAAGTTTGCTCATGACGTTTTTTGACATTCCAACCATTCTTTTCCCGAGTACGCAACAATTACATAAATGCTATTGTCTTGTTTAGGGGAACGGTCTGCTGATGAAAACCACTCAAAGGGAAAGTCTACGCCGTTTTTTACAGTTACTAACATGCTCGAAAATTTTCAAACGCTGTTATATTTACGATAGTCTCGGGTGAGATAGCTTCATGATTTACTAACAACTCTACGGATGCTCTTTACTAGCTGATTTGACCATTGCATATAGTTAAAAAACTCAATCGGTTGTGGATAAGTTTACAAGGATTTTACTCGCCAAAAAAATTGAGGGTATTCTGTGCCAAGAACTTTCAAAGCGCAACTCAACGAGACTTGGAACTTCAGAGCCAAACAGAACAGGATAACTTTTTCAAAAAAGTACTAAGAATTAGAAAATTGCTTATTAAAAAACTCAGTATTGAGTTTTAACTCAGTTTGTAATCTTTGATTCAACTGGATTGGCGGCTGGAAGGCGGGCACTGTGACCTCATTAGGGCAGCTCGCGCCCGCGACGCAGTCGGCGTCTCTCTCGCGCTCTCGCTCTCTAATCATCCTCAGGCCTTAACTAGGTCACGAAGCCCCGCCTTCCAGCCGCCGATCTAGTTGATTCAAAGAGTACATGCCACTTTAATTTGTATACAACACCTTCAAATAATTTTTGTCTCTCTCTCTCTCTAGAACATTTCCTGCTTGGCTTCTGCACGTAAACAAATGGATAAGCGACATAGAAGACATTAAATATTACTCTTGGAAATTTTTAAAAGATATATTCGGAACAACCCGATGTAAGATCTGATAAAAGAGCTTATGAACAAAATCTATTCAATAAGAGAGGCGTAATCGCAATATGTACTTGGACAAACTTTTCCGATCAGAGCGACTTTTTCAAAGTTTCACCTATACATGGCTAATGGAATTTGAAGCCAAAAGCTCAATGAGGAAAAGTGTTTCATAATTGTTTGCGTTTGCTATTCTTTTGGATATTGTGGACATTTGCAAAATGCTTTTGGGAAGATCATTCTGGGAACGAATTTTATCTGAAAATATGAATGCATCGACGCAGCACCTCACTACAGGCTATTGCTCGAGATTTTCCCCTCTATTGACTTCATTTCCAATCAGTTCCACTCTCTGTGTGCTTCTCTTTGTCATACACAGAGCCGCTTACACGCTTTCTTCCAAGTTACATAGATTGATGTATGACATCGAGTGGTAACAAGATGAAAACATTTTCATTTTCAAGCAGCTCCTTCACCACTTTGCCAGTCGATGTAATGCGCAGGAAAAACTCGAGAACAAAGGCGGGTTGGTTCCAGGCGCACAAAGTGTTGAAGTCACAGATCACAACAGGGGAACTTTTGAACTGCTAAGCTCTGAAGGAGCGGTAGCAGGGTAAAAATGGGTTAGATAAGGAGCAAGCTCACTCGGTGCAGGGATTGAGATCGGCATGGAAATGGGGGGAGTAACCATTAATGGATTAGTAGAGTTGACAGCTTAGGAACTAGATTTTACAGTGGCTCACATTTATGATAGAATTGTTATTCATCTGAATTATTTTGATTATTTATTTATTTACTTCAACTTTTACCACAGTGAAGACTAATTTGTACAGATTTAGCTATGCAATAACGAGAAAAGATAAAAGATTGCTTACCGCGCATTTGTACGTCGCCTTGCAGTGGACTCTTCCGTAGCTTTTGCTTCGACCGAATCGGCTTTCTTCCAACTCGTCCACTGTCATCCAACGATGTTTCTTCGACGATCCACCACTGGCTCCTTCTTCACCTTTTCGCTTTCCGCTGCTCACTTCCTCGATAATGGAGCTCTGAAAAAAATCATACATATAAAGCTCATTTTTATATCGCTAAGTGATTGCGAAAATGAGCAAGGCATCAAATCTACACAGAGCAAAAAGCTTTCTTGCTCAAACTAAGCTAGCTGTTGAATCTATAAAAAAAAGAATTCGACAGCTCATATCATCATCACATATGGAGATACAGAGCAAAATGAGAACCGTTTAAGTTTCAGTGATTGCACATTTTTCAAAGTCTAGCTTGCACATGAAGCAACGCAAACTCACTATTGTTTTTTGGAGTTCAAAAGTCGGCTTATACAGGGTGTCCCAAAAAAAAATGTATCGAACGTTTGATCGTTAATATCTCTCTTCCCAAGAAGTCTTTTGCCTTGCTTCAGGTACCGTTTTGTAGAGCTGGCTTCAACTTACATTTGCATTATAAAACAAATCACCCACCTCTCTTCATTACTGTAGGATTACGGTAGAAACTTGAAACATATGGTGTCAGTGTGGAAAAAGCTGCCTTTTCAAAATTTTTCAAAAAAAATGTGAAAACATGTGTTATAGAGTTTTTATGGACGCTGAGTTCAATACTCAACTATTCACTGGATTACGAAGCTTTCTAAACGTTTAATCGCACTTTTTAAGAACATTGAAAAAACGGCCGCTACCTCTTACCTGGCACAACTCTTCAATGAAGCATCATAACAAGTTGGGAACTTTACGGTTATAATCAGCAACTCTAATTAGCCTAGTGTAAAAGTTTTCAGGCTGTTTTGTTTCTTTTCTGAGGCAAAATATGGCCTTTCATTGCTTAAAACCCTTTTTGAAGTTTCTACTGTAATCCTACAGTAATGAAGAGAGATGAGTGATTCGTTCTATAATGCAAATCTAAGTTGAAGCCAGCTCTACAGGTTGGTACCTGAAGCAAAGAAAAAGACTTCTTTAGAAAAGAGATATTAACGATCAAACGTTCAATACATTTTTTGGGACACCCTGGTTTATGCTCCAGCCAGAATCAATGTTGAATGACAAGCTGGTAAAATTGAAAAAATAAGTCAAAAAGGAAAATAGTTCGAGAGCCCTATTGAAAGTGTGTCTGATGAGAACACCTGAACTGACGAAATCCGGGAAAAACTTTGAATTTCTACTATCCCTAGAGTAAGAAGACGTTCCCATACATTCTTTCTAATTCTTTATAGATCCATATGGTAGAAAAGGGATGTGATGGCTTGGATATTTTGATCAGTGCAAAAAATCAGGGGTAATTTTTCATCATAAAAAACACCATTAGCTACTTCAAAATAAAACTCATGTAGATCTGGAAAGTTTATAACATCGATGTTAATTTGAGGAAAGCAATTCTTGTCATTATGCCAATTTCCATTAAGTGAAACAAAGGTTTTTCAACTTATAAATGTAGGCGAAAAGCGAGGATTTGAAAATCAACTGGTGATGATAAGAATTATGGAAACAATCTAACAAATTAAACTATTCAATAAAGAATTTTATTCAACGCAAGTCAGCCTCCGCTTGAATCAAGAAAGGATATATTTCTTTCAGGATAAGTTTTTTTTTACAATATCAAGCAATTTGACCGATGTTGAAGGCCATAAAAGCGCACCACAGAAAAATCTCCTGTTGTGGGGTAGAATGTCTTCTTGTCCAATTTCAATGTCACGAATGTCACGACATACTTAACCTTGCTTTTGCGCATGATATGAGCTGACAGCACCGTAAAGAGCTTCGGGACTGATCTTCGCTCAGAGGTCATCACGAGAAAAAAACACGTGTGGGTCTTTAGCCAATGTTTGACTGGTGCTGGCCGAAGGCCAAAGCATTTCTATGTGATTACGAAACGGTATGGTAAAAGGGGGCGGGAGCAATTGTTCTTAGGTCGCAAAGAAGGGCATCTGGAATTCAAAGTTTCTGACGAAAATTCTTCGAAAGGGTTGAGAGGATGGTTTGGGGCTCTGAAGAGGATTTTCGATGTGAAGAGATGCCATAACAAGGAATACTGAAGACGCGAAAGTAGTAAGAGCTTACCCCAAAAGCACTGCCCAGCACTGGGTTTAGCAAGTGGATCATCGAAGCTCGCACTTGCTCGTCAGAAGGACCTAAGCCACTTCCGCCGTCACTTGAATCCGCAGCATCTATGTCTAGCCCTCCATTCAAATCTCCAGGCGCATTTGCGTCCAAAACACCAGTATCATCCAGCTCTGGGGATCTGGAACATCAAATTATTCGCTTCAGAACAGAACACTCAAAAAATACCGTACCCATTGCTGTCGTCGTGCTCCAACGTGCCGCTGAACGACTCGCCCAATGACTGGCAGTTGGCAGCAGCTTGAGCCAGGATAATCCGTTGGATCTCCTGCTGCTGTCGTTCCTGTTCACGTCGCTCCTGCTCTTGCTTATGTTCGAGGATGCTGGCTCGGCTTTGGTCTTCCAGAATCCGTGATAGAGCACTGACTGCCTTGCAGTTGTTTCCACCATTCAGTTGTGCTTTCAGGACTGATTGTGGAGAGAGTGACTGAAAGATAAGATTTGTTTATGAGATTGCTGTGTTTGAAAGTAAGCAAAGAAAATTTGAAGCGTGACAGACTGTTTTATAAATAAAGAGGCATGAGGTCTGCCAAATTCTTCGAAAATCTCTTCAAAAACATTGCAATTTTTGCGAGCTTACAACCGCAAAATTCCCGGAAAAGGGGCGTGGCTTGAACTTAGTTTCGAAAAGAATTGTTTATGAGTGAATTTGTGATTGGACTCCGTATCTAACCTCTGTATGAAAAATTGTACATTTGAAATGTTTAGCATGAGATCAGACAAATAATATGAGAAAGATCAACTATGGATTTCCAAATTGTAAAAAATGGTTAAAATTGATTATCTTGATGATGTGTACTTACGTATAGAAAGTATGATTTCCACAAATTCCTGTGCCTAATATGCATTTTTTGAAAATGCTCCTTATGGATATGAAGCTCGAGAGCACACTAGCTATAAGTTTCAAATAAAAATCTTCAGCGCGGACAATTTGGAAAACCAAAGTTCATGGCAGGATAGAGCAATGGCGATGATAAAAAAAAGTGTAAATACCCGGAAATTTGAAGCAGACTGAGAACTCAAGTCCAAAAAAATATTAAAAAGAAGCGATTCTTAGGAGCGTCGCAAAATGCTAAAAAAGAGATTATGTCATTCAAAAAAATCGGTAACCGTTTGATGATGTTATTAAGAACATTAAGTCGCATGAAAACTTTCTAAAATAGACCTTCGCCGACTTTCTAAAATAAATATGACTTTCGAGCTCTTGAGTAAGTTCGCGAGATAGCACACTGAAATTTTCAACGATATCGCTAGGACCTGAACAGCAACAAAGTGATTCTTCGATTACATTGTGGGTCTGTGAAGGAGAAAAACAGCTCCGCTCATTTTTGTGGAAAAGATTTCACGCCGCCATGCGACAGCCATTAGACGCGTAGTGTAGCATTCCATAGATTCCTAGGACTTGATCTAACGTTGTAGGTGATGCACTGCACCAGTTTCAGTGCCACTCCAATACGTACTTACTTCTCATAAAAAGTAAAGGAGTACGCGCGCTGACGCGGTTTCCACTTTTGGAAGGAAACCAATAGGTAGTTAGCGCGCATAGGGGGATTGATGGAAGTAGAACACATTTACTATTTGGGAATGTGAACAAGTATAGCGAGGCTGGTAGGGAAGATCAAAAATGAGCGATGAGCAAAAATCACAAAAAATATGGTAATAGTAAACAAAAGCCGCAGACACTAGATGAGCTGAAAGTTAGCTTTTTTCGAAGTCATACGTATTTTCAGCAAAGCTACGAAACTGGAACAGATGTCCTGCACTGAAATTTTTAAAAAATACATAACCTCATTGATTAGAAGATCTGTCAAATAGAAAGAAAAAAATTATGCGGAAGATCTCTAGATTGTGTCAGTTTACTTTCTTCCAAAACGGTTCTAACCTTTATATATTGACATGAAACCAACTTTTAATGAGAAATCACGGTTCAAACTAGTTTTTTCCGAATTATTTCGATAATTTTTGCGCAAGTCATTTTCAACTCAAAAACTCGAAAGTCTCCTGAGCCCTGCGCTCACTCAACAGCCCAACCCGCCTGCCCTTTTAGACAAAGAAATTCGTCTTCCAGCGTGAGTTGTTTGGTTAAAAGACAATGACGACGCCAACCCTGGGTACGGTATTCGCTCGCGGCTCCTCCCCCACATTGGCTCGGCTCTCTTAATTGGCAGTTATTCCAGGAACGCGCACGACCTTCGACAGCTGTTCCGCAGAACTTCACTTTATCAACAGAATGACTTGCGGCTCCGTTTATTTTGAAGAAAATTAGTCAAATTCCTTACAAACAATCTGCGCCGAAGATTGGGGTGCAAAATGTTGCTCTAACTTCAAAAGTTATTCGATCTAGTATGACAAATGGCAGTAAGATTGTAAAATGACGGAAATTCTCCAGATCGTAGATTGATGATTACCTTGTCTCAAATACTACCATATCAAAGCCGAAAAGGTTTAGAAGGTTGCATAATTAGGAAGGAGAAACCCGCTTTCGCAGGAGAAATCTTTTGAAAAAAGTCACAAGTTTTGCCCCAATACAAAATCGTTTTTAACTTTAGAAATCTCTATATTATTACCGGGATACGACACGAGAATTGGGGCAAAATTATAATACTTCACCCCTTTTTTCTCTAATTTGATATGACCTTTTCCTGCGTATGTTTATGTTTGTACGATGTTTAACTTCTACAGATTACAGAATGATTATTAAATAAGCGACTGGAGACTCAAGCAACTTTCTGAAAATTATACGTTCTTTTTGTTAATGCACAATCTTAGTTTTTGGTGTTTAAGTTCAGAACAAAATCAAAACGAAACAGCACTCATACCGATTATGAAATGGCTATCGCTGATAGGACTAGTAGTATGATATCATACCAAGAATGTTGGTGAACACCAAAAAAAGAGATGAGAGATACTGAAAAAAGCGAATTGCTCACGTATCGTTCATCAAACTATCTATAGTCAAAAGAAGAGAGAGCAATTGTAAAAATGAATCATCACTTTGTCAACGCTTATAAATTTTACAAATGAAGTGATCACATCTGCCTTTCGAGGAAGTCTCCAAGATGTGCTGAGTCATTGTGATTCATTGAAAATTATGTGAAATAATGATGTAATAAGTTTGTTCAAGAATTACAAGAAAAAAGCATAGGGGTTCAGAAATCAATTTCACAGAAAACTTCGTTTCAAATGTTTATAAGTCTAGCAAGATAAGCAATGATTGTTTAAGAGAAATTACTTGAATGACAAGGGTTATTTGATTGAAAAAATGTGATTATGCATCATTTGTTTACTTACTTTTACTAAACTACTTTTTGTGTCGATTCTTTATGTTCTTTGTTAATTTTCTAAAAAATTCTTTTAAAAATTGACCAGTTGAAAACTACGTTTGGACATAAGCATTGCTCTTTTGTATAAAGCAAAGCGCAGGAAAAATGAAACTGCAAGTAATATATAAAATTTGTATAGATATTTGCAGGTCCGTGGACTGGCAAAATTTTGAGTCATATAAGAAGCACCTATTCAGCAAATCATAATTTGACAAATGAGGAATTTTTAACAGGGTCCTTCACAGTGCTAGGAGAAAAAGGATGTTTTCTTTTACAGGTTCATAGCAAAAAAGGTGCTCGGTAAACAATTAGATCTTCTGCGAGTAACCATGCGCAATTGCTTGAGGCTGGGTGAAAAAACTGCCGAATTCGCTGGAAAGTTGTTGCTGAAGGTTTAAAAAAGACAGCCGGTTCCACAGAATAGGAGCATTTTTGCCGTACAACTTGATATTGGTATTTTACGAGGATAAGTGCAAAACTGAAAGCATGCCTTTTACTTCTGTCATTCTAATTACAGATCATAGACTAATCCCAAACAAGCTAATCTGGCCAATAAAAAGATTAAGCGAAAACAGTTTCTTCTCCATCAGATTAGCCAGGATAAGCTCTTGCAATTTCGCTAGAAAATATATATGCGAGAAAAAGTCTTCAAATCGTCTAATGCGCGGCACTATATCTGCAATGAGAAATGGGAATATATGCTAGTCCGAATCAAGTCATGCTTGCCTGCTTCCTGAAGGACAAAACACGCCACTCACCCCACAGTAGCCGTTCTTCGACTGCGACGGCGAGTACTTCTTCGAAAGGGCGGACGCGATCTCGTTGATGGACACCTTCGGTTTGCCATTTCGGTCGGTGCCGCTGGCGGTGGCGCCGCTGCCGGACTGCTTCTCGACGCCGTTGTTCTGCTGGTTCGGCGACGCGGCCGCGGCCGAGCCGCCGCCACTGACTTTGTACTTGAGCGACGGATGATCGGAGAGATCCGAGACGACGGCGAATTTATCAAACCCGTTGGTGATCTGAAATACGGCGGCGGGTTCAATGTATTCCACGTAGTCGTAAAATTGAGCACACACGCGCACACACGGGGGGTGCGGCGGGTAACGCTCGCTCGACTCACCAGATACTGTATCAAGGTCATGGTGGAGGTCGTGGTAGTCACTTCGACTACCACGAACTTGGATTGTTGCATGCTGAAAATAGACGGGGATCAGGTGACTAGGAATGGGCGGGAAAGGAGCAAATTCGAAACGAGCAAAACGAGCAGACAAGCAGCGATGAAACGGAGGATTACGGTATGAAGAACCAGGAACAAGAACACCGTCTTGGAAAATTCATCAACAGTTGAACGGAAAGATTGAATGAGCTATGTTTTCTGCAAAAATCAAATCCGACAAGATTCAGCTCTATCTTCTTTCCTCTCCACCCCCCCCCCCCCCTCCTCCCCGCCAACCGGGTGGGGGAACGAAAGCCGCCAGGTCCAGCCGCCTCCGCGGACTGCTGGTCCTGGAACGACATGCAACAACGCTGCGAAAGGACCAGCTGGCCGCGAAAGGCGGCTGGACCTGGCGGCTTTCGTTCCCCCACCCCCGCCAACCCTGTGGCTACGCTTTCAATTCTTCTCGTATCCCGATTAATGCTCGAGATCCCCGTCAATGTTTGGAAAAGCGCAACAATTTCACGGAGTGTGCGATGTCCCAGATAGAATTTCTTTCTCTGCACAACGCTCCCAATCATAGCGCCTTAGACGAGAGAGCTGACCTTGTTTCTCACTTACTTAAACGGTGCTGTTACGAGATTATCGTTGTGAAAAATAGCGGTTTTAAATAATAAGAGGAACTAGTGGGATACTTCTCTCGTACTTTGCATGTTGATAAAATATTGCTCAAAATTTATACTGCCACCCCCCTCTCGCCGGCGTCCTCCCCAGCATCAAAATGAGCACAAAGTAGCCGAAATGATTATGAAATTAAATGGTTCTAGCAATTGTTCACGGATGCTCAAGACTACTGTTTCTAAATTACAGCTAGTGAAGCTTTGAAAATACCGTCTAGTATTCGTATTTCAACTAATTTGCAATCAATTGCATGATTTTTTGCCAAAAGTGCAACATAAATATGAAGTTTTCATGCGTGATCACCTTTTCTATTTTAGTCAATTAATATAACTTTATCACAGCTCAGCTGCATACAAGAGCTCTGGAGCCGTACCCATTAGAGTCAGGGTACTGTAGGTTTACGATATGTTTTGCGTTTGTGCAAGCTCATCCCTATTTTACCGCGAAATAAATGAGAATTTGTACAGAATGAAAATTTTTGCGAAATATCGTTTGCAAACCTTCTTTGATTTGCTTCGACCATTTTCACCTACAAATGTTTGCAAAGAATACTGTTTTAATCCGGTTTTGAGAAAAAAGCTGGTTTGGAAAGTCAAAGAAAAAATCTTTGTAAAAAATCAGGAGCTAGTTTTTTTAATTCGCAGTCAGTTTCTACAGCCTGAGCTGAGCAGGACACGGGGCCGAACTTTTTATGGGTTTGCATGATTACCCGCAAACTCTATATCGAACTAAGAGAACCCTACAAATCCCTGACAAAACACTGCAATAAGCATGAAACTTTCATTCATCACAAACAATAAGCATGTCAAACAAGATTATGCTGAAAGCTGTTCGAAACATCTATCAAAACGCCATTTGGCAAGGCGCCAAGTTTTTTACGAAATTGTCAGGGTGTTACCGTCTGCACGAAAACAAGTTCACGTTTTTTTGTAGCCGCTAACGAGACGAGTTTAAAAAAGTGCATTAGGAAAAACCGGTACGGATGATTTTTGTAGATACAATCTAAAATAAATGTGGACTTTACGCGGTTTTCTGAGGAAAATCGGATGATAAGACCAAGGAGAGGGGCGGAAGGTAAGGAAGTAATTAGTATAAATTTATGAAAACATTTTGAGCAAAGTATCTTTCAGAGCAACAGCTGCAGCGAGTTGGTTTCGGAAAAAAATTATGTAAGTGCAGAGAAAGGTAAATGAAAATCGAATGTCGATGTTTGAGCATGAAAATTGAGCTTGAAACATAGTAATCTGCCAAAATATCGTGGAAGTTTCGTATTTTCTATGAATATTCAGGGAGCAGACTCAGAGATGACACTTCAACGTGCGGAAAAAATTGGAAAACAGCAAGGACTATGTAAAAAAGCAGCTACCGCACCGCGCGAGCTGAGCTGGTGCCGAGCATGGGTGGTGTCATGACACGGGTCTGTGCAAAGCAGTTACGATGGATGTGCTTGAGCTGAGAGTCGGAGATGATGATGGTGGTAGTGGGTTGGATGACGCACGGAGAGAAGAATGCTGAAGTGGGCCAGAAATGGGGCTAGGCGCGCTCGCACGGTCGCTCGCTCGCTCGGAGTCGGGCTCCTCGCTGACATCGGCGCGGCGGCGTTCGAAGATAAAAACTGGTTGGACGAGTTTCGTGTGGCGTAGCCCGGGCGCGGTGTGTGTGAGCCATCACATGCTCCTCTTCCCCCAGTTTCTGTCTGTGCGCGTGTGTATGTATGTGTCGGTCGACGAAAGGACGCCCATCTCTCTCTCTTCTCTCTGGTGCTGGTGGTGGTGGTGGAGGGGGTGAGACACTAGAATACGATCACGTTTCCGTTTTTGTCTCATAAACAAGGCGCCATACATGAGTTGGTCACGACTCGGAGTGTACAACGCTCTGTCGAGGCGCTCTGAACACGCTCCCCTACCGGGTGGAATGTCCCTGAAACTCTGATGTTTGTGCTTTTGCTCTTGGCCGGAAGGAGGTGGCATGCTGATGATCAGAGATCGCCGACTACCGTATGCCACCGTAGCTGACGAGCCGCGAGCTCGGATGGTGAGGAAAAGAAGAAAGGCAAATAGCGCAAGCGAAAAATCAGAAATGATGAATTTTGGCACGTATCCAAAGTAATTTTGATCCAATTTGAGCCAGAGTTAGATGGAGGATAATTGTAGCTGATAAAGCTATTCTAGAGTGTTCTTAAAGATGTGCGAGGAAGGGGTGGGGAGAGAGAAGAAATACAATTTGAGAAAATTACAGCACACTCTGATGTCACTGATGACCTCACACAATGGAGCTCCCGATAATCAAGTAAACTTGCGTGACATCATTGGTAATGTTTATTTCATTACTTGTGAAACGTTCTTATCAGAATTTATTGGAGCTTTGCCCGCACGTTCTAAGGATGAGTTTAACCGAATAAGTTGAAGTTAAAGTTGGACCGCCAGGGATAGACGTGCTCTACATGAGAATTTGCACACCCCCTAAGTGAAAGCCTGCTCAAGTCTTCGACTGGATGTCAAAAATATATCAACAGAAGAGGATACAGCTGATCGTGTACCATAAACTACAGGTTACATTTAAAAAATCTGACTTTTTATCACTTATGGAAAAAGTGCAAAGTCTTATGCAAAAAATACTCGTTCTATTGCTCTGAACAACCCCTACATATGCACCAACGGCTGATAATGTAAAAAATTTAAAGCATGTTCTATCTATATACTTTTGTTACTTTTTTGTTAACAAAATTTACCTATGCAAGATTTTCGTATAAAGATGATTCATTCAACGTAATGATCTGAAATTGGCCAAAGACTCCTTTACACTAAGGGGTATGTGGAGTTTTACTTGATTTACTGTATCAAACAAATAGGTTGAGACAGTAGAATAGACAAAAAACGGTTGCTCCGCAAATTCCTATGAGCATCAATCAAATGTAGATTCACTGACTCATCAGTTATGCAGTAATTGGTAAGAAGTGATTGCAAAAGTTAACGAAGAGGGTCTTGATGTTAAATAACGTTTTCATTTCCGCTGGAGTTTCGAGAGTGTTGACAATAAGGTCACCGAACTTGCTCAAGAGCAAGTGATCTTTGAGGCGAAGAATTTGTCTCAGCACTAGTTTATCATAAATCCCATCTTCTTTTCTCCTCTCTTCTCCCCTTCTCCTTTCTGGCTCATCCTTCAAACTACGTCTATCAATCAGGTGAATCTCTTCAAGGAGCAATATTTTGATGGCAACTCACAAAAACCTGCGAAATCCGTCATAACGATCCCCTTGGAACCGTGCGTGCTGCTGCTTATACAAGACGCACAAACACGATAAGCACAACGGACCGGATACGGTGTGAACTTTGAGATTGCGCACACAGGTCCACACGACGAATGGGGCACTTCCCCATCCATCCATCCCCTTCCACCACATCCAGCTCGCCACCCTTCTACGATCGATTCTTCACCGTATCTAAAGAGAACTGGTTGCTTGCTTGCAGCAGCTGCAGCTGGAGGTGTTGGTGATGGTTAGTGGTGATGGTGATGATGGTGAGGGTGGTGAGGATGGTGATGATGGTGATGATGGTGATGATGGTGATGATGGTGATGATGATGATGAGGAGGATGGTGATGATGGTGATGATGGTGATGATGGTGATGATGGTGATGCTGGTGAGGATGGTGAGGATGGTGATGATGGTGATGATGATGGTGATGATGGTGATGATTGTGAGGATGGTGATGATCGTGATGATGGTGATGATGGTGATGATGATGATGGTGAGGATGGTGATGATGGTGATGATGGTGATGATGGTGATGATGGTGATGCTGGTGAGGATGGTGATGATGGTGATGATGATGGTGATGATGGTGATGATGGTGATGCTGGTGATGATGGTGATGATGGTGATGATGGTGATGATGGTGATGATGATGATGGTGAGGATGGTGATGATGGTGATGATGGTGATGATGGTGATGATGGTGATGCTGGTGAGGATGGTGATGATGGTGATGATGATGGTGATGATGGTGATGATTGTGAGGATGGTGATGATCGTGATGATGGTGATGATGGTGATGATGGTGATGATGGTGAGGATGGTGGGGATAGTGAGGATGGTGATGATGGTGATGATGATGGTGATGATGGTGATGATTGTGAGGATGGTGATGATCGTGATGATGGTGATGATGGTGATGATGATGATGGTGAGGATGGTGATGATGGTGATGATGGTGATGATGGTGATGATGGTGATGCTGGTGAGGATGGTGATGATGGTGATGATGATGGTGATGATGGTGATGATGGTGATGCTGGTGATGATGGTGATGATGGTGATGATGGTGATGATGGTGATGATGATGATGGTGAGGATGGTGATGATGGTGATGATGGTGATGATGGTGATGATGGTGATGCTGGTGAGGATGGTGATGATGGTGATGATGATGGTGATGATGGTGATGATTGTGAGGATGGTGATGATCGTGATGATGGTGATGATGGTGATGATGGTGATGATGGTGAGGATGGTGGGGATAGTGTGGATGGTGTGGATGGTGTGGATGGTGGGGATGGTGGGGATTATGGTGAGGATGGTGAGGATGGTGATGATGGTGATGAGGATGGGATGGTGATGATGGTGATGATGGTGATGATGGTGATGATGGTGATGATGGTGAGGATGGTGGGGATAGTGTGGATGGTGTGGATGGTGTGGATGGTGGGGATGGTGGGGATGATACTAATGGTGATGGTGTGTAGATGGAGTCTCTAAAGCTTGAGAAAAATTATGTCTAGGCACTGCGCGAAGTCTGTTCATGTTGCGAAGAATACACATATTAGAAAAAAGTGGGGTATAGAAGAAAGAGTGAGAAAGGGATGAAAATGGGACTTGTGTTGTACCGGTAGCAGATAAAATTAAACCTTTTACATTTTTTCTCCCTGGAATCCCTGTTTTAGGTACAGACTCAAATTCCTGCTTGAACGAAACAAAAGCTCAGCGAGTAAAAAAATGACTGCAACCCATAACCCGCTTCTTCTACAGCCCCCAGAAAGTAATCAACCAAGCGAACACAGTGACGAAAGACAGATCTGCTGCTGTTGCTGCTATTGCTGCTTTTCTCTCTCCTTCTCTCCCTAAGAATTTGCACCGACTCTACAAGAACAAGCTTCTCTTTGCGCTTATGAAACGTGGAAGCAGGTTCGTGCCGATGCGCGAGCACTATTCTTACGGAATAGACAAGCGTGTCAAACAAGGGTTGATAGTGAACTTTGAGCGGTATGAGTCCCAATTTGCTATCAGTGAAAAAGTTTGACTCAGTCAATTCCAAAACCAAATCAGTTCTCAATTACCCATGTTGTTACTGGTACCGCGGAGATTAGTCACTTGCAAGTTTGTTGCCTCGTCATTGTGATGAATAATTCGAGGGTTGTCCATTCTGAGTCCAGTAGACGGTTTTTTCTAAAGTTTGATTAATAGTTAGTTTCCTTTTCACACACTCTTAAATACTACGTAAACACGTGACGTCAGTTTATAGGAAAGAGAAACGTAATAACGAGCTTGAAAGCAACATCATTCGCCCTTGCACGTTAGAAGTTCGCCTATCTGGCTCACGAGATACAGTTTAGGTAAATTCAGAACTTTTTTTCAAAGGGCTAGGAATGCGTTGGCGACTGCAGAAGGGAAAACAAGTAGTTATAAGACTGGCTGATTGCATCATCGTCGTGATTTTTGCTTTCAAACATATTTTACTGTAATATCGTATACCCCCTCCCCTATGGAAATTTTTCATTCTGAATTTATCGCAGTAGTACAATATAACTTGCGTTGTAGAAGCTAAGGAGGCTTACAGTACGGTTACCATGTGAGTGTGGGGACCAAGCAACCCTGAGGCACATTTTTCGCACTACTGCAACAAAACCAAATATAAACTATAGCAGCTATATTCCTGCCGATCAAAGCAAAATCCTAGATGTCATGCCTGACGTTTTGCAATTATCCAGAAGTGCAACTGAAAGATTTCTGTGCAAAATGCTGCCACGATGAGAAGAACAAGTGTGTTACAAAAAAGATAAAAAGGAATGGGAGAAGTCATCCATCGTAATGGGTTGAATTTCCCATTTTGAACTAAATATTTTCGTAGAATCTTCTACTCTTTTTGCTGTACAATTATGGTTTTTTCGCGGATATTTTGAAGCACCATGGGAGCTTTTCCGTGGAAAATCCGGATTGGAAAATTTTGTCTATAATATATTACTCGTCGTCCCTTTTCAGTGGATAAATAGCCAAATGCGCAAACGAAACAGCTGATCTCGAAAAGTGTCCGCAACCATCTTGCAACGTGTAAATCCAGCAAAAAGGCATTTGACGGCGAATTAATCCGTGCGAGCGCATCATTCGTCGCATTCTCTTCAAAGGGTCAGCCTTTTTGCAAGAAAGAAACTGAATTATCATAGTGAAATCACTCTATTAGGATGACTTGCATTAGTGCTATACATAAAGGACCAGATATGATGGATTTCTCAACTTGCAGTAAAATTGTTCACAGATGAACTGATGCATTTAACAGCACTATACATATATGGTAACCCTCACGCAAAATTTTTTCTACTCAGTTTACCCCAATTGAATTTTATTCTATTTTTGACTTGATATCCAGAAGGAACAAACTTCATCGTATCAACAAAACCGCAGCGCATGAACACGCAGCTACGCCATATACTTAGAAATGACGGGTATGTACGGTAAGTATACGGTAGGTGCACTGTAAGAGGGAATGAGTACCTTTCATGCATATTTGCTATATTTATATGGGCACGAAGGCGCTGTGAAATGATATGGGTGATACCCGTATACAGAATCAGCAGCTGGTACAATTAGTATACGGTGGGGGTACTGTAAAAGTAGGACTGAGCACGTTTCTAAGCATACTGTGGGTAATACCCAATACATCGAGGAGCAGGCATGATGCGAGGAGTGTACGGCGGTAGGATACTGCAACAGTAGAATCGAGCATGCTCCTTCATTTTGAGCATATTCTAGTTGGTACTGGCACTCCAATGGTTCATACTTCAGATAGTTGATTATTTAGAAATGGACGGCGCAAAAATGGTCACCTAGTGGAAATGGAAAGCAATCCTGGAAGTGGCACCTGGTTTAGTTAAGGAGCATGCATACTGTAGAGCGTAGCGTAGCAAAGCCCCTGATCTGTTAGAACCCAATAGTAAAGGACGCTGAAGAAGGAAGCTGAGCTTGACATTCACGTATCTCAAAATGTTGGGTGTGCAAATCCAGCCAGCGCAGTGAAATCTTCCACTGTAATCATATTGAGGTTGTATAAGGATTAAGAATGTTGATTTGAATCTACTAGGTGCTGCTCATGAAAGAAAATCGTGACCACAAGACGCAACAACTGTGGAGGCGACTGTGTGCAAGTGACTACCGATGTGCTCTGATGGAGCGGCGGTGAGCGAAGACGGGGCCCCGTGAGCGTAGCGAGCGCGCTCGCTCACTCGGCGGGGTCGAGGCCACGTTGGCCCCGCGCTCGGCGCGCATCGTCGACGTTATCTGCTACAGCGGGGCGCGCGGGGCTCCACGACAGCGCCGACGATTGTGCATGAAATAGGGCGCGCGGCCCGGTTCAGTCGGCGGCTCTCTCTCTCTCCCCCCGTACATCCCCACAAAACACTCCCAAACTAGGTCATTCCACCATCAACCGCTCATACATACGGTCCGCACACACCACACACGTACACGCACATCGCATATTGGCTCGACGACGATGTATCCTTGTCGGATCCTTCGAGTCAGCCTCGGCTACAATTTCTTTCTCTCTCAAACGGGGATTTGCTGCGGCCGGGGGCTCGCAAGGTGGCTGCAACGAACATGCTATGGGGAGAGAAAAGAGCAAAGGGGACAAACTACGAGTCCCTATTATAAGCAAGTTAAACATCCCCTCACGCTCTCTTTTTCTGGTACCTCCTCTAATCATCATATCACAATTATTCTGCTTATGCAATATGTTAACTCTAAAAAAGCAGACCCGTACTTCCAAAATCTTCTGCGATCTTGAATAAACTAGAGGGTGAAAATATGCATTTTTGCAATAAGCCTGTGTTGTGCAGCTGCTTCAAACAGACCAATCTTTCATGCAATTTCTTTCCAAAGGAACGCAGTTTGCTTTCTTGTAGAATTGATTTAATGGTTAACGAAATACAAGAAAATATTGAATAGGAAAGCTGCCACAGATGTATTTCAGTGGTCTAACAAATGAGTTGAGAACAAGAGAGCACAAACACTCAGTAAAATTCAACCTGCTTTCTTGGATCTACTTTCCAGAATTTTAGATCCTCATGCATAGTGAAAAACAGCAAAAGCTTGCAAAAAAAAACAGAAATTTTGCTGCATTATTGAGTGCGAATGCGAGCCATAACCCTGAGATTCTAGAATATTAATTCAAACTTGCCTTTTCTTAGCCAATTAATGTAAAGACAGTAAGCCAGCTTAAAGTTGTCCGGAAATAAATTATACCACTAAAATAATTGAGCTATTCTTCAAATCTTCAAAGTACTAGAGGACATCATGCTGTCTGAGTGGACTAGTGCAGCTCCAGCTTTCAACGCCAACGCTTATGCACAGCAAAAAATTCGCTTCGAATAGAGCTTGCTGCATTGGCTGCAAAGTCGAATGGCGCTGGGAGCAATAAAAGATTTGAGGGAGAGGGGATAATTTTAGAGATCGAAAATTCTAAAAAAAATAGGGGAAAGGGGAAAGGTTCAAAAGTTAATCGAGGAAAAGTCAGAGCTGCAGTATAATGACAGCGACCAGCAAGAAGGAGGAAGTCTATAATGTGAAAAATAGCGATGGATGAGCTATCACCGAGTGTTACCAGCTAAGCATTTGGAGCAAAAAGGTTTGCAGCTGGGGAGAGCTCAAAGAATTTACTTCTAGAGAAGAATAAAGAATCTTGAAGAAGCAGTTCAAAAAGTTTTCCCGTGCACTGGGAAAGGTATTGAAGAGTTTGAGGTTTAGGATAACAAGGAAGAGATCAAAGGCTGAGTCTCACTAGGGTAAATCTCACTGCAAAGTTAACTCATAGCATCTTCTTGATCACATGAGAACTTTGTTCCGTGAAGCAAATTTTGACTCCCAGTGAAAGATCTTATCTCAAACAAATACCATCTACCACAAATGCGAGGAACAGCAGTACCCGGTATACCTTACCTAACCTACACCCTACCCCAGCGACTTCCATAGGCAACTCTACACGAAGAGTCTCTGTGAGCGAGTCCATGCATCATTTACAGCACAGTATCCAAGGGGCCGTTGCTCCGAACTAGTTCGGCAACGACGTCTCGCTCCTAAACTCGCTTTGGGGCGAATCTTTCTCACATCTCTCACCGACGACTACGAAAGTACATTGGTGATTGGAGCCGTGGATAAGAAATCAATGAGACACACACACAGCTGAAGATAAGAGAGTTGTTGTATGATGTGCGTTGTGTGGTGGAAGAACACACTAAGGGAGTCCTAGAACCGGATCGGCACACACCGACCAACCGACAGACGCACATGCATACTTACGCCTGTACCAATGCACTCGTTCCGAGCACATCTGTATAGTCTGTATGAGTCGCCTTTTTCGATGCACTAGTGTTTTTGGGGAGATCTCTGTGAAGGAGAAGGATCACGGAGATTAGGTAGTTAGGGGCAGAGACGCGGGAAAGGGGATATGAAGAGGTGGAAGAAAGAGCAGTAAAAACCGAAGAGTAGGACATCAGTTCTTTCCCACATGAAGATCCTCAACCTTCTATTCTGCGTCGATCCAAGGACCATGAGCCACTCTTCTTAAACCTGGACTACCTGCGATTTCGATCGCGACGCTATTTGGCTTGATAATCTACAAAAGCTATACACACCATGCGCTCCAGTCTCAATTATAAAATCTGAAGACATCTGGCAAATTGCGAGATCGCGTGAAGTATAAACGGAGTGTTACTCTCGGATAATCGGGAGGAACTTTCTTTTTTGGATCAAACAATAGATTTATGCTCATGTAAGTGTATTATACCTTTAGTTCTTCTGTACCGAGAAGATATTCTATTTTAGATATCAGCCATTGAATTATCGTAGTAAGAATGTTCGACCATCTCCATCGAGGAGCATAAATTTAGACGAGAAGTTAACCAACATCCTCATAAAGTCTCCGATCTCGCAAAAGTTCAAAAATGCAAAGTTCTGAGCTTCTAGTTCTTTCCAAAAAGTTGTTCAAATACGGAAAATCATACAATATACTTCATCGTTGCCTGGCTTTCACTCCAAGGAAATGATGTGGATCTCCAAATTTCCAAAATATCAGTGTAGCTGAGACTGATCGCGAAAAACGAGACTTTTGAGAAAGCAGCTGTAATATTGTAGCCATTTTCGACTTATATTCTGGGCAAGTCACAGAGAAGCAAAATGCTTTGCAAAAAATCAGCTCTTGCAACCTCAAAATGCGGCTGAGAATATCAAATAGGAACGTAATTCAGTATATGGTAGACATTTTCCATCTCTGCTACATTTTTTGGATCTATTGCATTTGTTACTGTACTTGCTGAGAATCATCTTGAATAGACTCCCTAAAATTGCTCTTTTCAAGGCGATGCTTGGCAAAAATACCATATATCATTGTACATAATAGACACTTTATCGAAAATTATTCAGCGCCTCATTTGCTCTAAATTCTTTATATGACCAAGTCCAGATGAAATGCAAATTGTAGAATTTTCAATAAATGATAAAACAGTAAGAACACATAAGCAGACCTCAGAAGGAGTTCTTCCCAAAAGGACGAAGTGTGTACGTATAAAACATGGTAAACTCGATGTGCATGAATAAATACCAAATATTGGCTTCCACACAAAATTCTGCTCACGTGGCCAAAATTCCTTTTCCTTTTTTTTGTTTGCAAGCCAACGTAGATGCCAACGACAAAGCGAAGTAATTTAGCCTTGTTTTTGAATTTATATTGAATGCTACAAATGATTATTGGTAACAAGTTCAGAGCAACGAATTACTGAGAAAATTTTCTAAAGTTCAGAACTTCTACTCATATAGAATGCTCCATTCTCCTAATCCTACTACATTCAAATTTTGCCAATTTCGATCCTAGCAAGCATTTTCACTTTCAGTGAACGGTTCCCCAGGTGGAGCCATAAACAGCTCCGCGTCTCCTTCGTTTGCCCCGCATTCGACGAGTGACAATTTTTTCGCCATTATCAAAACGGCAAACATGTGATTATGTATCTTTCATTGTATGTTATCGCCTTAATGTAAGCACATCTTTCACACAATGGGGCGAGCCACATTGCACAGCGGCACGTGGCATCGGCCCCCTGTGCTCATGGATTGATTAGGGTGATAGGCAATAACGTCGAATTTGGAAATCACAAAAATCTTTAGTTTCTGGAATAAGTTGAATTCATTCGAAAATTGGCGATGCTCCAGGGAAAAGTTACTGTAGCAAAATATCCAGGACAAATATTTTTCCATCGTTATCTTGTTAAAAAATTTGTCTCAAAAAACTAGGAATGGGATAACATTCCTTTTAGCAGTTTCGCGTAGGAAGAACAAATTCGCTAAAAAATTGGTATTGTTTAATGGATAGTTAACAAAGGAAAACAGCACCAGTACCACTCATCGTTATAAATAAAAAATCTTTTCAAAAAAAAGAGCATTTTTTAAAATATTTTAGAAAATAGGATTTTCCAGGCTTCAGATCAAATTTTAGAAATTTGATTTTTTGATTTTTTGCAACCTTTTAGTTGCGGACAATCGTATAAATTTTACAAATACCAATTACCCAAACTAGACTTAGTTCTAAAGCACAAGCTATACGCCACCTTTAAATCAGCTAGTTTTGGCATATTAGTGCGATTTTCAGTAGTAACTATTCTCATAAAAAAAATGTTGGAGTTTGTAATTTTTAGTGTGACCTTTTTTCAAAAAGAGAAGAAAACTGTAAAGGTCGGATTTCTCTATACTTACAGTTCTAACGGAAAAATTTAGTAGGACCATGGTTTCCAAGAATCTCAAAAGGATTTTTCACATTTTTGAGTTGAGTTTTCACCTTGCTCGAAATTTGCTCCAGACTCTTTCTCTTCCCCCCACCTCCTTTTTGCCC